GGCTGCTCAGGGGCCGGCGGGGGGAGCCCGTCGCCAGGGCTGGCGGGTGGGAGAGAGTGGCAGCGGGCCGGTGACTGGAGCGGAGATGAGCCTCAAGACCCCCCCCACCCTCGGGGCAGCGCTGTGGGGGGGCCGCCCCGCTGGGGGCCGCCGGGAGGGCGAGCGGCGGCTCGGGGTGGCAGCCGCACCAGGACGCACTGCACTTTGCTCTCAAAGACGCGACGCCCCTAAAGCAGCGCCAGCCCGAGGACTGGCCGGACCCTCCTGGAGCGAAGGCTGGGAGTGGGCCCGTGGCGGGGCCGGAAGTGTCTTTGAAACTTAATGCGACAGGTTTAGGTAGCGCGCAGGATGGTGCGGCGCCACTTCAGACGCGGGGCTCACCACCCCAGGAAATAGGGCACAGGGACGTGGGAGGGTTGGGCTCAGCCGGAGACCGGTCGCCGGCTGAGCAAGTGGGGATGCTGCGGACCTCGAGGCTGCCGGCAGGGACGCCTGGGATCGCTCGGAGCCGCGCGCTGGGGAGAGGGGGGCAGCGGGGCAGCGATGCGCCTCCTCCAGTCTGTCCGGTGACTTTGTTGTTAAGGTTTTATTTTGAGCGGGGGAGAGGGAGGGAGAAAGAGGGAGAGAAACATCCATGTGTGGTCACCTCTCGTGTGCCCCCTGCTGGGGACCTGGCCTGCGACCCAAGCCTGTGTCCTGACTGGGAATCGAACCGGGGACCCTTTGGTTTGCAGGCGGGCGCTCGATCCACTGAGCCGCGCCAGCAGGGGCTGTGGGTAATGTTTTAAGATGGTCTTTTTCTTTCCTGTTGGAAAAATGTTCATTTCTTCAAATCATGAAGACATACTTGTTCATTATAGAAAACAGGGAAAATAAAGTATTAAGTTCTCAAAGGTTGGTTTTAAGGATTAAAAACCTTGCAGAACTTTCTCCCCTCCACTGCCGCTCCCCTCTGCCAGCATCGCCGTCCCTCGGCCTGAGCGAGACCCTCCGTTTGCGGGTTGAGTTGCGGTCACAACACTGTGTCCCCACTGAACGTGGAACTGGAAAGTGTGCGTCGCCTGGCAATGGTCGGTTCCGCGCTGGAATGCCCGCTTCTGAAATGTGTGTGAAAATAGTGTGGGAACGTAAATTTAGCGATTTCTGCGCTTGGACAGCATTTCTTCCATTCTGACACAGACCGTAAAATGCCGCTGGGAATCCTGTTCGTAGCAGCTATTTTTTTCTTACAGAGCCAGACATCGTTTGCGGCTCCGTGACTGCCGATGCCACAGCAGCAGGTGGACGTGGCTGCCCCAGCGAGGGATGGGGACAGCAGCCGGTTCTGGGGGCGGGCAGTGCCATGTGCTTCCTGCGAGTTTCTTGTGTCTGACGGGCTCTGAGGACAAATACCTGCTCGCTCTCAACGCAGGCAAAACTGGCGGACAGCGAACGGCGCCACCCCGGCTGCGTGTACGCGTGAAATTGCGTGACAGACTGCGTGTCACCCTGGGGCCTCAGTTTCCACATTTGAGCTTCCTCTCAGCTCCTGGTCATTTTCTCCCATTTTAAACGGACCTTTCTCTCAGTTGGTTGCACTCTTCGCCTCCCGAGTTCCGGCTGCGCTGGTTTCCTGAGAGGGTGGAAGCTGCCTTTCTCGGGGCGTCTCTGAAGCTTCGCCCAGAGAGCTCCTCCCGTGGAGGCGGTGGGTCGCCTGCCCTCGGCGCCCGTGGGGCAGGGGCAGCGCGGCTGCTCCCGGCTGGACCGTGCGCCGCTGTGCGAGGCTGGCTCCTGGCGATGCGCCGGACGCGGCCGTTGCCGCGGACAGCACTGCGTTGCGCTGTCCGCCTCACAGGCTCCCGTGGCCTAAACCAGCCGAGTACATAACCACGAACTGGCCCAGTAATTCACCGCTAATTGTAATTTTAATTGAGATAATTACAGGCTCGTGTGTCACCGTAGGAAGTAACCCAGGCACCGCCCAGTCCCCACCGACCCAGCTCACTCCCGCCCCCCCCCGCCCACGCGGAGGCCACCGCAGCTGCCAGTCTCGCTCAGGGCTCCCGGTTTCCCTCTGACGTGCGCGGGTGTGTCCCTGCTGTGGCTTCTGGCCGTGCGGTCTGCATGTCCACCGCGGGGACGATGCGGACGAGTCTGAGGCGCGGGCCCTGCTGCTGCCCGGTCCCGTGGCCCCCTCCCCATCAGCTGGAGACTCGCGTGCTCCGGGCCCCCTGCCGCCGAGCGGCGCAGGCGGTCCCTTTGGTTGAAGGACGTGGGACTGCTTCCGGCGGCTCGTTTGCTGTGAACCTTCGTGCCCAGGATTCAGCGTGAACATGTTCTCTCTTCTCTCAGATAAGCCTCCCGGGGCTGGAATGCTGGGCCCCGCGTGGGCGTGCACTGGCCCCCCTCTGTCCCTCTGCCCACGCCCGGGCCGCGTGCACCGTGCTCTGCAGGCACCTGCCTGGGCGGGAGCTCCTGGTGTGGCCCTCGAGTCGGCCGTCCGTTTGTGGGTGCCAGCAGCTCGAGCCCCGGAGCTGAGCACGTCCCGCTGCAGAGAGAGACCTCTCGTGTCTGCCCAGCGCTCAGGAGCGGACTCCTGGGGTGTTCCCGGAGGTTGGCTGTGGCCACCTTGGTGGCGTGTCGAGGTGGGCGGGGGTCTCTCTCGTCAGTAAGCGCCACGCCGGGCCGTGGGCCCGCTGGGCCATGCGGTGAGGGCAGGCCGCCCTCCTGGACCTCCAGGCCGCGCTCAAGGGCGGCGGCACCTGCCCCGTCAGCACGGTGACAGCTCACCGGCGCTGCGCCCCTGCCGGCGCCTGCTGCTGCTGAGCTGCCCGGCCCGAGCCGCCCCAGCAGACCCGTCCCAGGCCTCACGTCGCACGGCCAGCAGAGCCCGCACCTTTTCATGGACTGTGGCCGTCTGTCCATGTTCCGTGTTTGGATCTTTTGTCCATTTTCGTAAGTGGGGGTTTTGTCCTGCCTGAGCTGTGTCCTTGTTGTCCACGTGTTGGGGGTGCGAGTTGCTTCTCAGGCGGCGGTGACGAGTGCCCGGGCTCCTGCTCAGCAGCGCGCCCTGTGTGTGGGCGGCGGCCTCCGGCCCTCGCTGATGGGCGCTGACGTGGAGCACGTCCTGAGCCGGCGCCCTGGCCCCCGGCTCGCTCTCCTGTTGGCGTCACTGTGGCTGATGCAGGCCTAGCGCCTTCCCATGTGCGTTTTGAAGTCAGTTTGTCAGTTTCTATAGAGAAGAGTTGTGATTATGTTGAGCTTATGGGCTCATTTGGAGAGAATTGAGTTCTGAATGTGAGCTTTCTAAACCATGAATCTGCTGCATCTCTTACTTTTTTTTTTTTTTTAAGGTTTTTATCTATTTTCAGAAAGAAGGGAAGGAGAGAGGGAAATGTCCCCGTGTGGTTTGCCTCTCGCGCACCCCCTGCTGGGGACCTGGCCCGCAGCCCAGGCCTGCGCCCCATCCGGGGATCGCACCGGCGGCCCGGTGGTTCGCAGGCGGCGCTCTGTCCACGGAGCCGTGCCGGCCGGGGCTTCTCCTCTTTTAGTTGTTTCCTTTCTCTTGGTGGTGTGTGGTTTTCAGGGTAGAGTCTTGCGTTTTCCCTCATTATGTAACGTTATGGCCCTGGACGCTGCTGCCAGTGAGGTTTCTACGTGTGGCTGTGCCCCCTTGGTTGCAGGGGACATGACCCAAGGCTCCCCAGGGGACGCCTGCAGCCGCAGGCGCGCCGGGCCCTGTCAGCGTCACGTTCCCTCCCCCACGGGCGTCTGCGGGGAAGCCCGGCATGCGAGGCGGCCCAGCGAGAGATCAGCCACAAAGACGAGCGATGAAGCAGGGCGCGTGGCGGCCCACGGCGGCGACACTGGTGTGAGTGGCTTTGGCATCACCGTGAAGCAGGACGTTTCCATCCCTGCTGCCTGTTTCCGGGCCCGGAGCTGCCCGTGGCCGCCGCCGCCGCCTGTGCCAGGGCCCCTCGCGCTGCGTCAGTGGCCGCGCCTGTTGGCACCCGGCCTCTCTGGTGGTCACCTGCTCTGTCGTGCGTGGATTTTTGGATTTTTGGATTTTTGCCCTTGGTTATTTTTTCCTTCTGTTTCTGTGGGCTTTGCCCTGACTGTTTTCTAGCTTTACAAGGTGACACCTTAGGTCTTGACTCATGTGTCCTATTTTCTTATTATTCATTCAAAATATTTCCTGATTGCCCTCGCGATTCCATCCTTGAGCGGCAGGTCACTCAGGAGCAGGCCGGCCCAGCCCCTGGCCGGGCGTTTGGGTGGCCGGAGCGCCGTCCAGAGGCACCAGGGTTGTGGGCCCAGCCCGGCCCAGCGGGGGCGGCCGCGGTGCAGCCGTGAGGGGAGCAGCAGATGGGCGCTTCTCTCTCCTTGAAGTCATAAGTTTCTTTTAAAGTATGTTGTTTAATATGAAACAACTTGAGGTTTTCTTAGCTATCTTAAGGTGGGTTTTTAATTTGAGTCTTTGAGGATCAGGGGACATACTGTGTCCTTTTAAGCCACTTGACTTTATTGAAACGTGTTTTCAGGTTCAGCTTGTGATGCGCCTTGCTGGTTTTTAAAACGTGCCTTATGTATACATGTTGGTGCCACGCGAGTGTCAGGTCACCGGTGGCTGATGGCGTCGCTCGGTCGTCAGCGCCTCGGCATTCAGTCTGTCTGGTTGTTCCGTCAGGTGCTGAGAACGGGGTGTTGTGCTAAGATTTCTGCAGCGGTGGGGTTTCTCGCCCCCTGTAACTCCGGTTCATGCGTCCTGAGAGCCGGTCTTTTTTCTAAACTGCGTGTCTGCGGGCAGCTTAGAGTTGGGTCTTTCCTGCTCATTTGTTCTGACAGCCTCTTTTCTTTGGGCTTTTCAGCCACACCTCTTCGCATTTTTCACTCAGTGGCTGCCCTAGGGGTTGCAGGGAACCCACTTAATTTTGCAGTCGACTCTGGGCAGCGGAACGGCAGCCCCCCGCATGCCCAGCTGGCAGCGCCTGTGCCCGCTGAGCCCTCTCTGCCCCCCGCAGGCTCGCCGACCATGGCCGACCAGAGGCAGCGCTCACTCTCTACCTCTGGGGAGTCGCTGTACCATGTGCTGGGGCTGGACAAGAACGCCACCTCCGACGACATCAAGAAGTCCTACCGGTACGAGATGCGGCGGGGCCCCTTGGGCAGGAGCCGCGCTGGCCGGCCGCCCTGCGATTTCGCTTTTTCCTGCCGACTCGGCCGTCAGCAGCTTCGTGTGCGCGTGGTGTGCGCGTGGTGTCCCTTACGGCTGAGAGTTGTTACAGTGAGGCTTTACAGCCTGCCTGCCTGGAGCAGACCGTCCCGCGGGTGCGCAGGTCTGACCGCTAAGCAGGGGGTGTTGGCTGCTGCCGGCTGACTCAGCTCCGCTCCCCGCGGTGGTGACCCTGTGCCCGCCCTCTGGCAGCCTCCCGTGTGCAGTTAGCCGCTTGGCCACTAGAGGTCAGCGCAGGGTCTGCCTTCCTGCTGCTGGGGGTTTGAGATGACGGCCCAGGTCTCCTTGGGCCCCCGACCTTCCCGGCCTCTGCGCGGGGGGGGGGGTGCACGTCCCTGCCGCTGGCACCTGCACACCGCGGGTCAGCGGGAGGCGTGAGACAGCACGCAGTCTCCATTTGCAGGAAACTGGCCTTGAAGTACCACCCCGACAAGAACCCGGACAACCCCGAGGCCGCGGACAAGTTCAAGGAGATCAACAACGCGCACGCCATCCTCACCGACGCCACGAAGCGGAACATCTACGACAAGTACGGCTCGCTGGGCCTCTACGTGGCCGAGCAGTTTGGAGAGGAGAACGTGAACACCTACTTTGTGCTGTCCAGCTGGTGGGCCAAGGTGAGGGCGTGGGGCCAGGCGTGCGGGCAGCGGGCGCCCGGGGTCCTCACGTGGTGCGTGTGCGGGGCTGGGGGCGGCGTCCCGGCCCTGCCCATGTGAGTGTGGGCAGAGCCGCCTGCCGGTTGTCACGGCGCTGGCCCAGAGTCGCCCTGAGTTCCTGGAGGCCATGGGGATGCCGGCCGCCTGGGCCGGGCACGTGTGTGGTTACTGGGAAGACTTGTGTGAGATCTACCTGGGAGAGTTGGGGTGTAGGCACTCGTTTTGCTTTTTAGCACCCCCTTCCTTGCTTGAAGCTGCCTCTTGGGGGAGGGCGTGGCAGACGGCCCGCCTCTGCAAACCGTCCTCTTGCGCCCAGGCCCCGCCTCGCTCCTCGACCCAGAGGAGGGACGCCCCGGGCGGGTCCCTGGCCTGCGTGCCCACCAGCTTCTCTCGCCCGTAGGCCCTGTTCGCCGTCTGCGGGCTCCTCACCTGCTGCTACTGCTGCTGCTGCCTGTGCTGCTGCTTCAACTGCTGCTGCGGGAAGTGCAAGCCCAAGGCGGCCGAGGGCGAGGAGACCGAGTTCTACGTGTCCCCCGAGGACCTGGAGGCGCAGCTGCAGTCGGACGAGCGGGGTGAGTGTGCCCGGGCCCCGCCGGCGTGCGTGGGGCGGTGCCAGGGCGGGCCCTCAACCGCGTGCACCTGTCTTGTCAAACAGGCGGGCACTGACACGGTGCCGGGATGTGTGTGTGGCGGCTGGGCCCGTTGGGAGCGTGGACTCGGAGGTAAAAGCAGGTGCGGGGGCTGTCCCCGCCCGCCCGTGCGGTAGCCGTAGTGCTGGGGGCGGGCCGCGGGCCGGCGAGGAAGGCCCTGCTGGGGGAGGTCACAGACAGCCTCCCCCCTCCGAGCGCTTGTCTTTCCCCTCTGACCCCGGCAGAGCGGCCGGGTGATGGAGCGCCCTCGCCGGAGGGCGTGTGGGGGGCGGCCCACGGTGCACGCGGGAGACCGCCGTCCTCGTGCGATGAGCACGCGTGTGATTGCTTTTCAGAGGCCACAGACACGCCGATTGTCATACAGCCAGCGTCTGCCACAGAGACCACCCAGCTCACGGCCGACTCCCACCCCAGCTACCACACTGACGGGTTCAATTAAGCTCAGCGAAGCTGCGACTCGCGGATCAGTCAGCGCCCGGCCACTCCGACCTTAGAACCATGAACTGCAGTCCGGGAGGCGGGGAGGGCGCCGCTCTGGCCGCAGGGAAGGGGCCCCTCCTGCCTCCGTGCCCGCCCGCCCGCCGACCCCCGACACGTGAAGTTCGTAGCATGCAGTATTTAAAGCAGTTTAGCTACGGTCGCCGTCCTCTGTTTTTTCCTTTTCTAATAGCATGTGTGGGGTTCTGTTCCATGTCTGTCTGTGTTGTGGACGTGCCGCGGGGTGACCACAGGGACCGGATGGCCGCGCCGCCCGGGGCCGGCGGTCAGGCTGCTGCAGCGAGTTGGCCGTGTGGCGTGGGGTCCCCGCTGCCCCCGGGCTGGGGCAGGGGCTGCTGTGGAGCTGTGGGGTCCGGTCCGGCCCGGCCGCGGGGCCGCCGGCAGCCTCTGGACTCGCTTGCTGGCCGGGAGCTGAGCGCGTCCCCGGGCGCTCTCACCCCCGCAGGCGTTGGCAGCAAGGACAGTGTGTGCAGGTCAGGCCTGCCTCGGGGGCGTGCATCGTGGGCGTGGCCCTGCGGTGCGTGCGCGTGTGCGGGGCCTGCGGGGGGCCGCGGCCCTGAGACCGCCTTCTCTGCCTGTGTCGGCCTGAGTCCCCCGCGCTACGGCGTGTCCCTCAGCCCGCAAGCTGGGTGACGGCCACGTCCCAGCGGTCTCCCCTCCCTCCTCTGCGTTGCCTTCCACGCTCCTGCAGGCCCCCGCTAGTCGTTGTCGGGCTGAGGGTCCAGGCTGCTGGTGGCGCCTGGCCGCCCGGCCTGCGCTCTGCTTCCGGAGCCCCTGCTCGCCCCTCCTTCCACTGCTCCCCGGCCAGAGCCAGCGACGCCAGGGCCCTGGGGAGGGGCCCGCTGGACCAAAGGCCGCTCTGGCCGGGGAGCCCCGGGTCCCTTTGCTTGTTAGCCCCTCACTGCTTTTTCGGGCGGTGCCTCCCGTGAGCTGCTGGGAGGCGGCCGTGTGTCTGTCCCAGAGCGTGCGAGGGGTGCCCTGCTGTGGGGACGGGGGAGCGTGGGCCTTGTGTCGGGGCGGCAGACTCAGCGAACCCTGCCCCTGGCCTCAGAGGCCCACGCGGCCCCCACGGGCCCGGTTTCTGCAGAACAAACCTAAGAGCTGCCGCTGCACATGCCTGGCCGTGCAGGAGAGTGGGGGGCAAGCGCGGGAGGCTGGGCGGCAGCGTGGTTCCCCGCGTCGGACAGACCAGAACATGCTCCTGAGGCCGCTGTCCTCGCCCGCCACTGGGGCCACGCAGACGGCAGGCTCAGCGGGCGGGCGGGGCAGGAGGGCACGGCCACTCTGCGGGCAGCACCGGGGCTCGGGTGCCATCCGGTCCCGCTCGGGGGGTTGTGCACATTGGATGACCGTGCGGACCCGGTGAGGGGGCAGCTCTGCACTGTGAGGCCGTGCGAGCCGGCGGCCGGCACCGGGCCTCCCCGGCAAGGAAGAGACGCGCGGTTGGACCCCCTGGCACGAGGGAGGAAGGAGGACAGGCTGCGTCCGCCCCGGGGATGCCTCTGGGAGTCACGTGGGACATGAGTTGTTTCCCCCGAAGGACCAAGCACCCGCTTGCAGTCACGTGTGTCAGGCCGGGCACCGCCTGCGCAGGGGCCGTGCTGTTGCTGGCCAGTGTAGGCCCTGCCGGGCGTCGGCCAGCTGTCCACCTTGCGCTCGGGATGGGGAGCTCCCCGGGGCCGGGGGTGCTGCAGGCGTGGCAGCAGCTGGTGGGTCAGGTCTCTGCGGCGAGCCCTTGTTTTCTGTGGCCTGTCTCCCTGGTGAGCAGAGCAGTGGAGGCTGGGGGGGCACCCTGTTCATGTGCCGAGTGGGGGGCGAGCCTGTGCCTCACTCCAGGGCTGCCCAGGGTGGTGGCCGTGTGTGGCCGGGGCCAGTGTCCGACGGCAGCTAGTGAGTGTGGCCCGGGCGTGTTGGGGTCTGTTTTGCCAAAGGCAGGGCTGGCCAGAGGTGGCAGGCGTGGCAGGCGCCTCAGGGGTCCGGCAGTGCTGCCCGTGGCTCCTGGAAGCGCACGCCAGGCACCAGCGGGCGTCTGGTGGCAGCTGCTGGCGTGGAGGTCTCTGTTGCGCTCAGTGATGTGGTCTCGTCTCGTCTTCCTTTTGGCTCTGTCCTCGTGTCAAACTGCTTTAGGCGCTGCTGCTCCGCGGGGCCCGGCTGGGCGGGCGGCGTCCCCCGCTGTGGGTCTCGGGCTTCCCCGCCGGGCTCCTGCAGGGGGCGGGCGCTGCCGAGGCCGTTGGTGGTGTTCTGACGTGGGCGGGCGGGCTGTGCCAGACCGGCTGGGGCCTGAGGGAGGGCCCCTGGGGCCACCGGCTGGGGGGGGGTGTCGGGGAAGGCAGGGGAGGGGCGGGGTTGCCCTCCCCCCTCTCAGCTCGCCCTCCCAGGGGCCGGTGGTGACAGGTGAAACCAGGGGCCGATCGCATTCCTTTCTTGTCTTCTGAGCCGTGAACCCATGTGACACAGGACTGACCTGTTTGTTTCGTTACTTTGGTTGCGACTCTCCTGTGGGACTGGCAGCAGCTGCCGTTCCACAGTCTTTACCCGCACGGCTGGCGCCGCCTGTGCTGTGGGTGGGCGCGGTGGGGGCGTCTCCGTGTGTGCATGTGTGTACATGTGTGTGCCACGCAGCGCACGTGGCTGCTGCTGTCCAGTGGCAAAGCAGCAAGTACAATAAAAGGCGGCTCCACAGTGGTCTCTGTTTCTTGGGGAGTCTGAGCAGGGGAGGGTCCCGTGAGCTCGGGCGCCCGGAAGAGCCGCAGATGCGGCCACGTGGACGGCAGGGCCGGGCGCCCCTCCCCAGGGTCTCCGCTGGCGATCGCCTGGCCCGCACGTGAATGTCCCTGGGCGACACCTGGGAGGCGGTAGGAACCCTTTCCTGGGTGGAAACTTTGAAACCAGTTTTCTAAGCATCTGATACAATCAGCGTTCGAAACCCTCTCCGTTGGGACCACGGGTCAGCGGGAGGGGGGGCCACGCCCCACGCTGCTTCCCTGGAAATGGATTGGTGTTTCACGCTAAGTGAGGGGAGGCGGTTTGCACTGAAACACATTTATGTTGTTTTTTAAAACTAAGTGCAATGCATGGAAGGCACTGTCCGCGCTGGTTCTGTCCTGTAACGGGGACCCCACAGAGCCGAGGGCCCGGCTGTGGGGCGGGGGGCTCCCCACGGCGATCTCCATCTTGTATGTCTGGATGTCGACTTAAGTAAAGATAACTGTTGTAAAATAAATGTTTTCACTGCAGACCAGGTGTGCGTCTTCCTTCACGGTCCCTGAAGAATCCCGTTGGGGGCGGGTGTCCTGCTGAGGGTCTGCCAGCCCTGGGGGCTGGGAAGTCGCCGCCCTCTGCCCTCTGCCCTCTGCCGTCCCAGCGGGGACAGACCTCCCTCCCCTCGTGTGTAAACACGGGGCGGGTCCTGGCGCTGTCCCCTTCCCAGTCGCACAGAGGCTGCAGCGCCTCCCTCCCTCCCGTCGCTGTTGGCTGTTGGCGTCCATTCCCCTGGGTCCCCCGGCTCAGACTCACTCCGCCTGCCTGCGTCCTGACCCGGGGTGGGCGGGCTGCTGCCTCTGGGGGGGGCCGTGCGCCCCCTGCCCTCGGCGGGAGGGGCCCCGAGCTCAGGAGGCCCGTGGGTTGCGGGCAGCGGCTGCCTCGGGGGTGGGCACCAGGGCTTCCTCTGGGCCCTTGGTCTTAGCTCAGTGCAAGGCAAGAGCATTCTGAAAACCTGGAAGCTGCCTAAAAATGCTAAGTAATGGAACAAACACCTTGAAACAAATCATTGGGACATACGAAACAGGAAGTTTGGTGTAGGCTTCCCGTTCCAGGAAAAGTGACTGGAAGCCAGGTCGGCGCCCCTCCCCCGCCCGCGGGGCCTCCGCTCCGGTCCTCCGCTTCCGCCCGTGCGCACACGCCGCCCCGCCCCCGCCCCCTCACACACGCCTCGGAGTCCGTGTTCGTTCGGTGCAGTTTGGTTTTTAATCCGCCTCGGCGACTGCATGCAGGTCCGGGCCGTGCATTTTCCCTGTGGCGCTGTGTCCCCGGCAGGTGCGCCGCGAGCACGCGGCCCGTGGGCGCCACGGTTGGACTTGAGCGGGGCGGCCACTGCCCGGCTCCGGCGACCTCAGACGGGACTCCTCTGGGCTGTGTCCGTGTTTTGAGGGCGCCTGTGCCCCGGGCGGGGATCCCCGCGCGCCCTCCCCTCCGCCCAGGGGCACAGCCCGGGAACCAGGTCACCTCCAGCCGCAGGCAGGTGCCGTCGCCTCCTCCGGGCGCCCGCGTGGGCGGTGCCTGCCGGAAGCTCCGCCCCCACCCGCCCCGCCTCCGGTGTCTGCGCCGGCCCCTGGGCTCTCGCGCGCCAACCCCAGGCTCCCTGGGCCCGACCCCTCGGTGAGCCGCCCCCAGAGTAGCCCGAATCCGCCCCCGGGTCTGCGTCCAACGTCCCTGCGGGCTGCGCCTCGCGGCAGCATAACCGTCAACGTTTGATGTGGTTCATTCCGGGAGCTGGAGGGGACGGCTGGCGAGTGTCCCCGCACAGGGGTTTCCGCAGCGGGGACAGGCAGGGCCCTAGGAGCCGGAGCGCCGAGGATGCGCGAGGACTTGCTCAGTAACCACGGCAGGACACGGGGAACCGGGCGACCGGGCTCTTCGGGGTGTGCGGCCAGGGTCCCCAGTGTCGCCCGCCTGCGCGCGACGCAGCTTCTCCTTAGCCCCGCCCCCGCCCCCAGAAGCACGTACAGAGGCAGCTCCCGTGTCCTCAGCCCCCAGCTAGGCGCGCGAGGTCCCCGGATCAGCGTTAGCAACTCCACCGATGGGAGACCCCGTGCCCACCAGCGCGTCCTGGTTCGGGGCCTGCCCCCCTTGGCGCCGCGACTCCAAGTCCCAGAGGAGTGGAGCCCCTGCGGCCGGTCCCATCAGGAAACCAGCCCTGCTGGGCACCCCGGCTCAGCTGGGGGCTCCCCAGACCTTGAGGAGTGTCTGATGCCCCCACACGGGATCCAGCGCCTTCTCCCTCCAGATGCACAGTCCCCTGGCTGTCTTGGTGGCTGGCACTTAGATCAGGTCGGACTGGGGTGCACGGAGATCAGGGTGGTCAGAGCCAGAGCTGGCCCCACAGCTAGACACGTGGCACTGGGTGGCTCTCGGGCCCCCGCTGGAAGCCGATTGGCGAGCGGAGGCACCAGGTGATCCTCGCCGGGCCCTCGCTGGGAGTAGGCCCAGCCCTGAAGTGGCCATTGCTCCCAGCCCAGACCCACCTGGGCCCCATCCAGTGATGGTCACAGCCTGGGTCCCCACAAACCCACAGGCAAACGGTCCAGTTCGTGCTCTCCTAACCCAAATACGGCCAGGCCTGCGTACCACCCCCTGCCCCTCTGAACCCTATGCCCCCTCCCCTCCTGCACCCCCAGGCTCCCGCCTCTCAGCTGGGCCGTGGAGCACCTAACACCCGGCCCCTGGCCTCTGGCCTGGCCCAGGTCCAGCGCAGAAGGTCCTCTCCGCCCTAGGACTCCCCCACTGCCTTGGGCTGCATCAGGCTGTGGGGCCCGGGAACCCGGTGTTGGGCGGGTGACCCCCTGGTGGGGGCCCAGCTGAGGCTCCACGAGGCCCGACCAGCCCTCCAGACCCCACTGCCAACAGCACGTGGGCACACGTGGCCTGCGTGAGTCAGCGTGACGACCGCCCGGGCCTCCTGCGGGGCCCCGGCCGCTCCCCTGCCCAGAAGCGGCGGCGCAGGCTTCCTCACACGGTGGCAGCCGCCGCTGGGGAAGAGGCAGCACCTCCTGGGCTGACGGACCTGAGACGGACCCTGGGACACCATTCTCAGGCCGGGCAGTCCTGGAGGCACGGCCGGCGCGGCAGCGGCGCGCCCCCGCAGGCGACCTCTCGGCCCCGCCCCGCGCGCCCCAGGGGCTTCTGGACCAGGACGCAGGGGCTGCCGCCACCCCCGGCCGACGGGCCCCTCCCAGGCCCTGCAGCCCCTCCTCTCTCCTCCGGGCGAGAGGCGCGCAGGCGCCCAGGGAGGCAGCCGCGGGGCCCCCTGGCTCCCCGCCCCGAGCCGGTCCATCGAAGGTCTGTTGAGTGGGCTCGGCCTCCCCCAAGGACGCCACTGGGTCTTCCGCTCACCCTGGACCCTCGGCGTGTCCCGCAGCTGCTCCGGGACAGCCCCGGACCTCGGATGCTGGGGCTGGGAGGCTCCCACGGGCCAGAGGAAGTACCCCTCCTCCCACTGGCCCCCAGAGACCCTGTTTGGAAGGTGACCCACTTGCACCGCCTCACAGGGCCCCGGCAGGAAATGGGCCCAAGAAGTCCCCTGGCCTGTGGCCCGGCCTCCCGGAGCTGCTTCTGAGGAGGGGACCCAGCTGGCGGAGGCTGCCCTCCCCCCGGGTGGGGGCAGCAGGGCCTTCCTGAGGGCACACGCGTGCACGGGCGTCCAGGACGTGCCCTGCTGACGTGTGATGGCACGAGCGTGGGCAAGTGGGGTTTGTTTCCTGGGAGCCGGTCAGCCTCTGGCTGGGCTTTGGGGGACCCTCCGAGGAACGAGCTACCCCTGGCCGGCTGCGCTTGCATGGGTCAGCCCGGTCCTCACCCGGGAAGACCCAGCCAGGCAGAGCAGCGCCGTCCCCGCCCTGCGACCCGCTGCACCCGCGACCGTGGCCGGGCTCGCTGCCGCCTCAGGTGCCCAGCGGCAGCACCAGAGCCCGGGAAGGCGTGGCCGCAGGCCCGGGACGGGGAGCACTCACCACGCGGGAGAAGCCCCTGGGCTGACAGCTGGCCGCGCCCTGGTCCTCCATCACCGGTGCCTGGCCACCCCTCGGACCAGCCGCCTGCTTTTATCTGCCCGCCTTTGGCCTGGCCCCCACCCGATGACTTCCTGTCCCCGCCCCACCTCAACCTTTTCCATGACAAGGGCTTTGTGGGGGGTGGGGGAACCAAGGGGACCAGGAGGACAGGAAAGAGGCCAGAGCCCCAGAGCCTGGGCTGGAGGGAGCGGAGGGGGCCGGGGCGCTGACGGCCCACCTGCAGCAGCCCCGATGGCTGTCTGCGTGGTCTCCCTCCCCCAGGCAGGCCTGCCGCGGAGAAGCCGGCCCCCGCCCCGGCCCCCAGCTCAGCGAAGGCAGGCTGGACGTGGTCTCTGGCCTCGGAGGGCAAGGACGGCCGGCCGAGGCCCTGACCGCCTCTCCTGCAGCCGGGCTCCTGCTGGCGGCTGCCCCCAGCTCATCAGCGCCCCCCCCACCGGCCGCCCACACACCCACTTCCGCGGGGCCTCCTGATAGTGCAGACACGTGGTGGCGGCGGAGGCAGCTGATGGGAGCCTGAGGAGGAACTCCAGGCCAGGTGGCCGCCAAGGGACCCACCTGGCAGGGCCAGGGCTCCCCAACCCGGGTCCACTCTGCCCTCTGCCAAGCCAGGTGCCTAGCACGAGGGCCAGGACAGCCTGTCCTGCAGGGGAGGAGGCGAGCAGGGCCCCTGGCCTCTCCATGGGCCCTGAAGCAGGCGGACCGCTGGCCGCCCGGGGGCCACTTCCAAGCCCCCAGCTCATCAACCACAACTTTGTTTTTCTGAGACTTTATTTTATAAATGTGTAGAATAAGTTACACCAGTGACGTCGTTAAACTAGAACAACGTGTGTCGTCTGTGAGCAGGGGCCGGCGGGGGGCGTGTGCGGGCGGGAAGAGAGCAGGCGTCGGGCTAGCCCATGGACGCCACTTCTTCCTCGTCGCTGCCGTCGGGGACGGCGTCCGTCCCGAAGTAGCGGTCGCCGAAGTTCCCTGGAGAGAGAAGCGGGCCCTTGCGGCGGCGGCTCGGGCCCCCCTGCCCCGCCGCGGGCCCCGGCAGCCTCACCGATGCCCGGGATGATGCGGAAGAGGTCGTTGACGCGCTTGTCCACGGCCGTGGTGATGATCCTCACGCGCGGGAAGGCGTAGGCCACCGAGTGCACGCCCATCTCTGCCATGAGCAGCGACAGCAGGAAGATCTTGTCCTCCGGCACGTCGTGGTCCTGTGGAGGGGCCAGGCCGCGATGGAGACCCCGCCCCGCGCCGCGCCGCCCCGCCCTCCGGGCCACTCACCAGGAGCACACGCACGGCCATCATGGCCGCGGCGCCCGTGGACACGGTGCAGTCCATGAGGATCACGTGGTCGTCGCTGATGTCCTTGGGCAGCCGCAGGTAGTGGAGCTGTGGGCGGCCGCGCGTCAGCCGCGGCCGTGGCCTGGGGTCGCCCCCCGCGCCCCGCACGCCGGCCCCCGCACCTCCGGCTCCCCCGTGAGCTGGTTGGTCTGGATGAGGATGGTGCCAATGCGCACATCCTTGCACACCGCCCGCAGCGCCGGCTCCATGGTCTCACCCGCCCGCAGGATGGACACTCCGGTGATCTACGGGGGAGGGGGCTGAGCCGGACGCTGCCCCTCCGCCTGCTCCAGGCCCAGCCCCCGGCCGTGCCCCCACCCTACCTGCTTCCCAGCGTAGCACTTGCCCGCGTAGTCCTGCCCCTGCGGGGTCTGCACCACGCAGTCCTGCGGCCGAGAGGTCGGGGGTGCTGGTGAGCACAAGGGGCCGCCCCCGCCCCCGGCCCCCGCCCCACACCCCTGGCAGCCCCGCACCTGGAAGGGCAGGAAAGACAGCGCATGCTCGATGAGCAGCCGCATCAGCCTCTTGGAGTAGAAGATGAACTCGTCCCGGCTGGTCTCCTTGTCCCTGCGGCCAGCCAGGCGGGGGCGGTTAGCCACCGGGGTGGCCGCGCGCCCACCCGGCCCCGCCGAGCCCTCACCTGATGATGGTGTGCATGCCCCGCACCTGCGGCGTGCTCTTGAGGACGCTCAGTGTCTGCGGCAGGGGGTGGCACTGGTGCGCCGAGGCCAGCGCGGCCCTGGGGACACAGCCGGGTCGGGACTGGCGGAAGGTCTCGTCCCGGAGGCCCCGCCCGCTCCAACACTGGGGGACACTGGGGGGGCGTGCGGGGTGGGAGCCGCCGCCTCCCTGGGGCTCCTCTGGAGGGAGGCTCAGCCCCGGACACCCCGCCCCCTTGAGGGCCAGGCCAAGGTTAAAGGGCGCAGCAGGAGGCAGAGCAGCTGGCCATTAGGCGGGAAGCAGACTGCAGGGTGGGCCGCGGAGACAGGGCCAGGCAGAGCGAGGGGCCGCAGGACCCCTCGGCCCCCGGGACGGCTCGGCTCTGGGGCCAGGCCCTGCCCCTGCCCCCCAGGGGACGCGGCCCCGCGGACAGGGCCGAAGCGCCGTGCCTCGGGGGGAGCAGGCGGGGGCAGCCCCAGCACAGCGCACCCGGCACCACAAGCAGCGCACTCGGTCCTCACATATCCCAGCGCAGCTTCCTCTGCCGCCAGGTGGAGAGGTGACGAGCAGGGAGCAGGGCAGGCAGCCCCGGGGTCCCAGAGGAGAAGAGAACAGAGAGGCCGCTCAGCAGGGGGCAGGGGTCCCGCGCCGGCGGGGGAGCAGCGGGGGCGGCGGGAGGGGGCCGGGCGGCAGGAAGAGCCCGGGGGGGTGTGCGCGCTGGGGCGGCCCCCGCCCACCCCTGGCCCTGCTTCCTGGGGCAGCGGAGGTGGGCGCGGCCGCCAGCCGCCACTTCCTTGGCTGACCAGAGAGGGGAAAATGCAGCTGGCCCCGTTTGGGGTTTGCTCCGCTTTGAAACCTGGAGACGTTTTCCTCAGGGCGCAGGCTCGGCAGCCCTGAGGGGCGGTGGGTGTGGGGCCAGCAAGCCCAACGCACACGCAGGGGCGGGCGCCGGAGACCGTGGCACGGCCACAGCCGCGGGGCGCGGGGGCTCGGGGGCGTGGGGCCCCCGCCGGCGGCTCCGCCCACACCCCGACCCCACAGCGAGCCCAGGCTGCGGGTGGGTCCCCTGCGCTGCTCGCTGTGTGGGGACAGGGCCCCGGGACCCCAGGCTGCCCGGCCTGTGCGCGCCCCTCCTGGCTCTGCCTGCACCTGGGCCCCGGGCGGGGGGGCCTGTGGGGCCCACGGGGCAGAGTCCAGACTGGCCTTCCCGTCAGGCAGAAGTGCACGCCTGGCCCTCGGGCTGCAGGGGTCACAGCGCGGGCCACCGCCCCGGCGTGAGCAGCGCTGGCTCAGGGACGCCCAAGGAAGGGGCCTCCCGAGCGGCCGGGCCAGCCCGGGGGCCGGGCTCAGTGTGACCTTAGGCAAGCGCCTTAACCTCTCTGTGCCGCGGTTTCCTCATCCGCCCGAGAGGGGCGGCAGAAGCAGCGTGGGGGCCCGTACCCCTTCTGTGCCGGGGGCGGGGCTGCCACGGGGCAAGGGCGGCCCTGGCTCCCAGCCCCGAGGATGCCGGCCATGCCTCCGTCGGAGCGGATGGGCGTGGACGTCTTACCTGACGCTGAGCTCACGCTGCGGCAGCACCAGGGAGACAAGGGAACAGGGGGCGCGTCAATGACAGCAGGGTGCCCCCTCACGGCCGTGCGCCCCGCCCGGCCACCCCCAGGATTGGCCCTGCCACGCCTCGCTGAGCGGCGGCCCTGGTGACTTGCCCACCACGGCGGGGGCCGCGCCCTGCGGCCTCTGACCTGCGCAGGCAGAGCCTCAGGCCTGCAGCCCAGGGCATGTGACCTCAGGTTGGTCCCGCCGCGGGGGCTCCAGGCGTGGCACTTGCGCCAAAACCCCAGGGTCCCCCAAGGGCGGCAGGGGCAGCTCCGGCCTGGGGCACAGGGCCTGAGCCCACTTGTTCGGGGAGCGTGGCCGGCTGAGCGGGACACAGGAAGCAGGGGGCGGTCAGGGGCCTGGCTCGTCCCGCTCACCTCCTCCAGCTGGCTGTGCACGTGCTGGACAATCAGGTCGATGGCCACTGTGTTCCCGCTCCCTGGGGGAAGGGCCGGAGGGTGAGGCCTGCCAAGGGGGGCGGGCCCCGCGTCCCCACTGACCCCCACGGCCGGCTCACCTCGGGGCACCACAATGTCCGCCAGGCGCATGGTCGGCTGGATGTACTGGTCGAAGGCCGGCTTGACGAACTTGTTGTACTGCTTGATGACGCCCGCGATGTCGCGGCCGCGCTCGCTGATGTCCCGGCGGAGCCGCCGCACCAGGCGGATGTCTGAGTCTGTGTCCACGAAGATCTTCATGTCCAGGAGCTGGCGCGGAGCGAGCTGCTGAGCACGGCCGGCCCACGGGGGCCCGGGCCCCGCCTGCCCGCCAGGCCGAGGGCTCAGCCGGGCCTCTGTCTGAGGCGGCTGGACACTCCGGGACGCCGGCTCTCCAGGCAGCCACCCACACCGACGCGCTCGCACCGGGGACTGGGCTCGGCGCCTCCGGGGCCGGTCCCCGCGCTCAGCGCACGGCAGGTGACCCCCGACGGGGCTGTGGGGGGCCGTGCTGGGGGCGGCGGGTCCCTGGGACCTGAGCCTCAGAGCTGCCGTGGGACGCGAGCCCCGGGCCCCCACACGGGCCTCTGCTGGGGCCGCGCATGGGGCCAGAGGCCAGCGAGGACGGACAAGGCTGGGCCGTGCCTCGCGGGGTCAGGAGCGCCCTCAGCGGACATGCAGCCTCCGGAGGCCACCCCCACCCAGGCACCGGCATGCATGTGAGCCGCCCCACCCTCAGCCACCGCGGCCTCCGCGCGGACCCCAGAGGACGGCCGCGGGATGCACGGGCGGGGGCAGAGGGGCGCGCGCTCAGACCCGGAGGCTGCGGCCCTGCGGGCGGCTGCTTCCCCGGCCAGGGCGGGCCTGCCTGGTCTGCTCAACCCCACGCTCCCTGGAGAGGGGACGCTCCTCCCTAACACCCAGGGACCCCTCCGTGGGATGGGGCAGGTGACATGCAGCACACGGGTCAGGGCCTGCCTGGGGATGCGAGTCCGTGGCCCGGCCTGCGGGCAGGCGGCGTTGGACGGGACGGGGTGTCCCGGGGGAGGCAGCCCGAGCCCGCCCTCACCTCCAGCAGCGTCTTGTCGGCGAAGGCCATGATGCCCTCGAAGATGATGACGTTGGCCCCGTAGAGCGTCTTCTGCAGAGGGAAGGGCCTGTGCTGGCGCCCGCGCCCCCGCGCCCCCCCGCGCCCGCCCGCCGGCCCGCCCGGCCTACCCAGTCTTTCTTGCGGCTGTGGGTGGTGAAGTCGTAGACGGGCACTTTGACACTCTTGCCCTGCTTCAGTTTCTGCAGGGTGGACACGATGAGGTCGAAGTCGAAGGCGTCAGGGTGGTCGAAGTTGTAGTTGTTGAGGGCGGCCTGCTCCTGCTGCTGCCGTGTGAGCACCTGTGGGGGGAGCCGGTGGGTGCTGCCCGGGCCGGGCTGGGCGGCGGGGGGATGCAGGGCGGGTGCGGGTGGGCCCTCACCTTGTAGAAGGAGTCCATGGACAGCAAGACCACCCAGGGCACATCCAGGGCCTCGATGATCATCCTGGCCACCGTGGTCTTCCCAGAGGCGCTGCCGCCGCCCAGGCCTGCAGGCAGCGGAGCCGGGCGTGACGGGGGCCCTCCGGCTGGCTCGCCCGCCCGCGGGGCCAGGGCGGGGCGGCCGCTCACCGATGGCGAAGGCCTCCTTGGACTGCGTGCCGTGCTCGTTGTACCAGGGCGGCCGCCCCGCCGTGTAGATGGTGCGCTTGCTGGTGCGCAGCAGGGGCGGCTCCGACTTGCACTGGCTGGTGGTGCGTTTCCGGGGCGCACGCCCGGCGCCCACAGGCGGGAGGAGCCTGTCCAAGGCCTCGGCGCTGCTGCTGAGGGAGCAGGGTGTGCTTGCCGCGGCCCGGGCCCCCGGCCCACCGCCGCCTTGGGCGCCACGCAGCCATGTGGCCGCGGCCAGGGCGGTGCGAAAACCCGCCCGCCAGCCTCCTTCGGGGCCTGTGGCCCCAGGTCCCTATTCACGCCAGTCCCGGGGGACAGCAAACCACGACGGGAACGCGGGGGGCGCTCCGTCCACGCCGAGGACGGGGACGCGGATGGACGCGGGAGCAGGACCCTGGGCCGGGGACCCGCAAGGAGGCCCCCGCAACCCCCAGGGCGGAGGGTGGAGGCCCCTGCAGCCTGCAGGGTGGCACCCGGCTGTGGCTGTTGCCACGCTGCGCCACCCGTGGGCCCCCCACGCCGGCCTGTCGCTGACGCCCTGCAGGGTCTCGGGTGTGGCGGCTGCCTGAGCCCCAGAGCGCAACAGGGTGGCGCCTGGGGGTCCCCGATGGGCTCCGCGGCAGCTCGACGCCTGCTCAGGGAAGGCCTGAGAGGTGCGGGCACGGCAGGTGCCCTGAACGCGGGCGGCGGGGATGCAGGCCCGAAGGGTTTTGCGCGGGCGCAGCACTGCACGCCCTCGGGCCGTGAGCCTGAGTGGGCGCAAGCGCGAGGGAACCAGAGGCCGACGTGCCGGGACCCGGAACAGGCACCTGCCTCGTCTGAGGGGCTCCCGAGCACACGCCCCTTTGCTGCCAGAGGCCAGGCCGGGGTCTGCGCTTGAGGCTCAGAGTCCTGCTGGCGCCGCTACGGCCGGCGGTGCCTGGACGGTCAGTGTCTGCACACGTGTGGGGGGGGGCGGCGTGGGAGGAGTCTGCGGAGGCCTGACACGCGACAAGCCACACAGGCGGCTCAAGGGCACGGAGAACAACGTCCACGCGTGCACGCGGCGAGGAAGCCAGCCGCGGGATTTGACAGGAGACGCACGGCACAGTCCTGGGGGACCGAGAAGTCGCCAAGGCTGGGCGGGCGGGGGGGGGGGGGTGGCAGCGGCAGTAATTAGCTGGTTTGCGTGCGGTGTGCGCCGCGGTGTCTCCGTGGAGACGGCAGTTGCCCGCCGCGCTCTGCTCAGAGCCCGGCGCCGAGGCTCGCGGTGGGGCTGAGCGCACACAGCGGGCGCCAGGGTGCCCTGGTGGTGGGGGGCCCGGGGACGGGACATGCGCCGCCTCCGCCCTTGAGCCCGGGGCTCAGCCGGGCCCCGCCCACACAGCCGCTCAGCCCCCCCGAGGCGGGGGCGTCTGCAGGTCCCCGCCACAGGGCAGTGCTGGCCGCTCTAGACGCCCGTCCAGGAGGTGGCCCGATCGCAGGCCCTGGCAGGGGCGGGGATGCTCCCAGTGGCCACAGGCCCCTCCCTGTACCTTCTACTCCGGGGGCGGGGGTGGGGGGAGCCCCAGGAACCACGGCCGCACGGCGCACGGGAGCGGGGGACGGCCCCGCGGGCCTCCCAGCCCCCATCTCTCACCCCGGGCTGCCAGCCCGTGGCAGGAGCCTTCGGCCCCTCTGGTGAGCACATCTCACCCTCCTGGGGAAGCCGGTCACCAGCAGACGACTGTGGGCCTGCGCCGCCAGCACCCAGGGCGGACACCTTCCCGGGGCAGGGGCCGTGGCCGGGGCGACCGCGCCAGACACCCACCCGCTCGGCGCGTGGGGCCCCGGGCAGTGTCAGGCTGGGCCGGAGGCCAAGCCCAGCCCCACAGCCTGCTCCACGGCCTGCTCCACGGCCCCTGCCGGGCTCTCTGGGGCCGGGGCTGTGGCTGTCCCGCTCCACGCCCTCCGGGTGAGCTTCGCTCCCTTGTCACAGCGGGACCAGCCTCCGGGGGGAGAGCTGCACAGTGCTGCCCCAGCCACAGGGGAACCGGGCCTCTGGCTCCAAGGGCAGGTGACTCCAGCCACGGGACTGGGAGCCACAGTGACACAGACCCCTGCCATGAGCAGTCCCCCGTGACACCAGAGCCTGCAGGGGATGGGCCGGCTCCCCAACCCCCGGCCCTGCCTGGCCCGGCCGTTCCCTGGGGCTCATCGCCCTGGCGAAGGCGGGTCTCTTCCCCTGCCACTCACCTGCCTTCTGCTCCCAAGGCCCAGCACCCTGAGATCCTGATGCTGGGGTAAGTCGGGGGGCTGCTCATGCCTGGGACTCGGGGATCCGAGGGGTTTGCAGGGGCGCCGCCGTACGGCCTCAGGCCCACAGCAGCCCCCCGGGACGGCTTAGCAGGCCCCCGAACGGCTGCTCCATGGGGGCTGGCAGAGAGGCAGGGGCCCGGCCGCCGGGAGGCCCCGCGAGGCCCCACGAGGCCCCGCGAGACCCCAGGCCGCAGCAACGGCGCTCAGCACTGGCCGGAGACCGAGGTCACGGGCACCGTGGGTCACCCGGCTGAGGGCTGTGCACTGCCCCGGTATTAGTAGCCCTGGCCCTGCTGGAGAGCAGGCCGGCCGGGTGTACACCACCCCAGACCCCTGGCCTGCCTGGGGCTGCAGAGCAATGGCCCCCAGAGCAACAGGGAAATCCGAGAATGTCAGTGCTGAGCCCGGTGTCCCCCTCCCCCTTCCCCAAGGTGCCTCCTAGAGGCATAAACAAATCTGAAACTCTACCCTGCGAGCCTCTGAGAATAACTGCCAGCCCCGCCCTCCACAGCTCGCAGCACGTCCCCCTGGCCACCCAGTGCCCGGCCCTGGAGGGGTGGGGTGACAGAGCCACTCCCCAGCCCGGCGGCAGGGGGAGGAGAGGCTCAGGAAGAGTGGCCGGCCGTGGGCACGGGGCTCCTGCACGGCCCGGCCTCCTCCCTCGATCAGCACAGCGGCTGGCGGGGCCTCCGGGCGGAGAAAATGCCCCGTGCGGCTCGCACGTCTGAAGGGGCCTCTCCCCTGGCTGCCCAGGTAACGCAGGCGGGTGACTGCGCCCCACCAGAGGCGCCTGGAGGCTGGACTGCCCGTGACCTGTCCACAGGAGCGTCCCTCCTGCCGCCCCCGCCCCCCCACAGCTCGGGCCGACGGGCAGGGGCGGGCCGCCCGGGTTTAGGGGAGTTTGCTGTTTGCAGGGCTGGGGGGAGCGGGGGGGGGGCTTGGGGGGATGGGAGGGAAGTGTCGGGGGCAGGTAGGAGCTGGGTCACCAGGGTCACACAGCAGGGCTCCCAGGCTGGCTCAGGGACAGCAGTTTCAGGGCCCCTCTCTCAGGGGAGGTGCCGGGATGGGGGCCCCACCCCCTGGCACGACCCTTCCTTCCCGCTGCTCTGGGCCGGCCTCCCTTCACCCAGAGCTGCAGCCCCAACCCTGAGGCGCACAGGGACACCTGGGCTCCCCTAGAGCCAGCACCGGGGCAGTGCAGGGACTGTGAGGCCGGCACCCGAGGGTCCGTGGCGGGGGGCCCTTGGCGGCAGCACCAGGGGACAGCGGTGAGCAGAGGCAGCTGGAGGGCAGGCCCCGTGGTCTCCGCGGAGTGGAGCCCCGCCGTCCCCTCCCTGCACTCAGGTCCGGACTCCCCGCTCTGGCCCGGCGGCAGCTGCCACGAACCCGTGTCTCCAGGGAGTGCTTCTGTCGAGAGGGTGCCTGGCCTGGCCCTCTCCGATCTTAGGCTAAGTCAAGGATTCTTTGGGACCAGCAGCCGTCACTGACTTAGGTCCTATTAGGCCCTGTCCCCCTGTGCCAGGCTCCCAGTCACTGCTCACTGGGAAGGTGTGAGCCCAGGACACAAGATGCTCCTTCGAGGCAGCCTCTTCCTGCCGAACCGCTGGGGGCGAGCTGCCGCAGCAGGGCGCCCCCGCTTCCTATCGCGCAGCACCGGGACCGCTCTGGAGAAGCCCAGGGACCCACCCGGCCCGAGCGAGGAGCCCGGGCAAGGAGCCTGGGCTGGAACCACGGCTTCCTTTGGGGCCCAGGCCCGGCCATCCCTGACTTCCCCAGGGGACAGGTCAGACCCGGAAGCGCGGGCCCAGCCTCCGGCGCAGGGGCCTGGCCCTGCGACCTGCTCCGCCACGGCCGCTGGCGGCGCCGGTCCCAGAGGCACCGAGCTGAGCCCGTTTCCGCGGCCACTTCTGTCTCCCCGGCCGGGGGGCGGACGACTGCACCCCCGCCACGTCCCCTCTTGCGAAGCCCCCGCAGAGGCCTCGAGGGTGCCCCGCTCCAGGCGGCACAGAGGGGCCATGCCCCACCCCCAGAATCACGACCCCCCTGGCCTCTGGGTGGGGCGGGGGCGGACTCCAGAGCAAACTGCCCGCCTGGGAGCGTCGGGCGCGCACTTGCTGCGCCCCGGCGCCCGCGGTAGCGTCCACTCGCGACGGGAGCCAGAGCCCACCTCGGGCCGCAGGACGCGCTCCGTCCGCCCAGCCTCCGCCTGGGCGCTCAGCGCGGGCTCGGCCCGCGGCCCGCCGGGGATCGCCCAAAGCGAACGGGGCACCCGTGTGCCCGGCCGCACCCCTGCAGCACCCCCGGAGGACAGGCTCGGGCGGGGGCGCCCCTCCCACAGCGGCCGCGGGGGGCGTGCGCGACCCCGGCCCGCCCTCGGCCGCCACGCCTACCGGTCCTCGCCGGCAGCCTCGCTCTTCGCCACCGGCCGCTCCGTCCCGTCTCCGGCCGCGGGGGGCGGCGGGGGCGTGCGGGGAGCATCGGCGGAGGCTGGGGGCGCCGCCATGGAGCTCCGAGGCCGCTGCGCGGAGCGAGTGGGCGAGGCGGGCTGGGCCGCACATGCCGCCGGGAGCTGTAGTTCGGGGCTCGGCCCTGTGCGCCCGCCGGTGCGCCGCGAGGACTACAAGTCCCACAAGGCCTTGCGGCCGGGCATCCCCTGACTCAGAGTCCAGTCTTGCGGACACGTGCGGGCTCCCTCTGCCCGGGGCAGGACCCCACCCCGGGTGTTTCCACAAACTCAGCCGCACACAACCCCTGGAAAAAAGTCAATAAACATTTATTTGATACAGTCATTTTTAATACATACAGTTGATGGCCCGCCCCCGTGCCACTCAGGGCCTGGGGGCGGGGACGAGGACCAGGGACAGATGGTCACGAGGCGGGCCGAGCCCGAGCTTACCGTCAAAACATCTTGCAAATAAACACTTTGTAGATAGAATATATATGTATATTTATGGTTACAAGTGATAGCTGGAACCTCTCTTTCAAAATGCACTTATGTACGGAGAACTGGCATTTAAAAAACCAAACCAAGAAACCCAAAGCACAGGATGCGTGCCTGTCAGGCCGGAGGTGCTGGCCGGTCTCCTGGAACACCCCCCACCCCATAAGCTCCAGGACAGGCCTCCTGAGGCCGGCAGAACGAGGACACACGGGGACAGCCCTGCCCTCCCTGGGTCGGGGTGCTCCGGTTCTTTCCCTTCTGAACCAGAGGAAGGGGGGCGCGCTACAGCTGGGAGGGCCACCGGTCACACCAGGGGATACCCTCATCTGCCTTTGCACAAGCAAATAAAGTGCATCCTATTCTTGTGTGAAGTGTCAGCCCCTCGAGTCAGCCCTCTCCTGTTCTCAGGGCAAGGGGGGTGGGCTGGGCCAGAGGTAGATCTTCAGAAAGGGACCCGGCATTGTGCCCCGGGCTTGGGTCTCAGGCAGAGCCCACGCCCACCGCGCCCTGGAGACTGCCCCTGGGTCCCTCTCACTGAAGGTGTCAGTCCAGGCCAGGCAGTTACCTGGCAGGGCCCCCGCCGATCAGGAGGCGGGCAGACCCTGCGGAGCCGCCCAGGGCTCTGCCCTCGGACCAGCCCGCCACCCCACTCGCCAGCCAGCCGGAGCGCAGGACGCAGGGAGGGAGGGAGAGGCAGGGGTCTAACCCAACAAGCCCCCACACCCACTTTAACAACAAAGAAGGGGGTTAAAGTGCTAAACATCAAGTTCTCCAGGACCCCACCTCCTCCCTCACACCTGGGCAGGGTTCCCACCCCAGGGGCGCCTGCAGAATGTGGAGGGGGACCTGGACACACACCCCCCGCTCCCCAAGGGCCAAGTACCTGAGAGGCCGGGGCGGGCGGCTGTCCCCAGCAGAGGTGTTGAGGTCCAACCTCCTCCAGCCATTGGCGACAGGGCAGAGAGGGCGCACCCGGGGCTCCTGTCAGCGCCTGCTTCCCCTGCCCCCCGAGGCTGCCCTGTGGCGGCCGCCTGACCCGCCTCCACCGGCCGAGCACCGCACGGGACGCCCCGAGCACAGGGGAGAAGCCCGCCTGCAGCCTGTGCCGCCCGCCTTGACTCTGACACCGGGTCACCCCCGCGTGCCCGTGGGTGTGCGGGAGGGGCCCGCCTCCCTGCGCCCTCCCCAGCACACCAGGCCAGGGCTGCCCAGGGTCAGGGCCTCTGGACAGAGCCAGAGGCGCACCGCGCAGCGCCTGGCCCCCAGGCCCCCGGGGCCTGTCCCCCTGCCATGGGGCCAGGACAGCGGAGCCCAGCTCTGAGCCCCTCCTCGCCAGGGCTGGGGGAGGGCGGCAGCTGGGGGGCAGAGGGGCGCCCCGCAGGCACTGCCTCCCTGAGCAGGGGAGGGACCCCGGGAACCCTGGCCCCGCCCCCAGACCCACCGTTGGCACCAGGAAACCCTTAGCACCAAAATGTCAGATTGTTGTAAGTTTTTGTATAAAAAACAGAATAAAAAAAGGTTGTTACTTGTCACAGGAACAAGACTGGCACCCACTACACACCCAGGAGACACACGCACACAGGCAAATATCAAAATTCACATCGTCCAGGATCGGCGAGGCCGAGCCCTCAGCCCACCCCCCACCCCACCCCCCGTGGAAAACAGCCTCCATCCAACCCAGGGGCTCTGAGCGTCCTCGCCCCCGGCAATGTCACGGCCAGAAGGCAGGGCCCGGGGAGGAGGCCGGAGCTGGCGGCGGCTCCTCCAGGTGCCCGGGAGCCCAGCCTGAGCCCTGCCCAACCCGCCACCTGGCCGTCCTCAGGGCCCCGAAGGGAGCCAAGACGGCCCCCAGCTCCCAGCAGCCCCCTGTGGCCTTGCCAAGCCCCTCCCCAGGCCTCCAGCTCTCCTATGAAAAGACCACACAACCGGAAAGGAAGGAGCAGGTGAAAAGGGGGGTAGGGGGTTCCCACAGGAGCCTGGCCACCGGCCAACCAAGTCTGGGAGACAGAAGGCTGCCTCCTGCAGCAGCCCCTCCTCAGAATGGGGCCCAGCCCCCTGCCCCGCATGCCTGACGGCCCCAGGCCGGCCCCCTGCCCAGACTGGCCAGTCCCTGGCGGATCAGGCCGCCCCGACCGGGCCGGCGGTGTCGGGCCAGCCGGAGCGGGCTCCCGGTGGCCCCAGCCGCTGCAGTGCTGCAGGTGGGCAACCAGCGGTCCTCCACAGGGACGGGAGAGCGACTGCGGGGGGCCGCGGCCCCCGCCGGGACGGCCAGGCTGGCGGGGCGGGGCTGAGCACAGCAGCCGTCGCAGGGGCTGGGGAGGGCGAGCTGGAGAGGTAGAGAACAGGAGCGGCGGAGCCAGGGGCGGGGAGGGGCGAGCGGCACGGCTGTCCGGGCCGCACGGCGGCGATGAGACTCGGGGCCAGTCCTGGGAGGTAGCTGGGGGTGCTGGGGCTCCAGTGTCGGGTAGAGGGGAGGCTGCTCAGGCACCCTCATCGGCCAGAACCAGGGACCCCCGAGCCTCGGGCCTGAGGAAGCAGAGAGGGCACGCAGCCGCGGGGCCGGGCCGGGCCGGGCCAGAGGGCACCGGGCTGCCGTGTGGCACCCCTGTGGCTCCGAGGCCTGGGCTGCAGCCCCTCCAGGGCCCAGACTCCGCCAGGCCTGGGGCTGTCCCTCCAGGCTATTGCACTTCCGTGGCTGCCACCGGCCAGGCGTGCCCGCAGCAGCCTGCACAGGGGAGGGGCCGCCTTCAGGGAGAGGGGCGGGGCTGGCCGCCCCCACTGGACAGGTGGGGAGACGGGGTGGGGGCGGGGAACCGCAGGGCAGGATGTCCTGGAGCTTGCGACCCAACCCTGGACAGAGGAGGGCGTGGCCAGCGTGGGGCCCGGGCCCCACCCCCCTGCCAGCCACCACGCTCACTTCTCGGGTGCCTTGCCGCCTCCCACCTTCCGGCCAGTGGCACCCCGGGCCCCCTTGTCTCTGCCTCCCGGGGGCCAGTCATCCTGGCGCGGGGGCATCTTGGGCGCAGGCTCCTCGGGGGGCCGCTCCTTGGGCTTGCGGCCCCGCTTCTTCCCGCCTGCCACGCTCTTCTCCTCCTTCTTGGGCACCAGTGAGTCCTGGCTCCTGTGTTTGGGGGGCGGGTCTGCTGACGTGCGGAACCAGTTCTGGGGAGAGAAGAGCAGTGAGGGGAGCCTGGGACGGGGGGGCGGCCGCTGACGCCACTTTGAGGAGGAGCTGCCGCGTCTTCCAATGTGGGCCACGCAGTCAAGCAGCCCTGGCCCTCCATGGCCGCCCCGCCCGCGGGCCCCGCGGCGCCCCCCAGGCCCCGCGGCCCCTCCCCGCAGGCCCCAGCCGCCCACCTCCGCGTGGGCCTTGAGGATGTGGTACTTGACTCCGCTCTCGGAGCTGAACTCCTTCGGACACAGCAGACAGCAGTACTTTCCCACCAGGTGGTCCCCCTGCAAGAGGTGGGAAGCCCCGCCCCGGTGTTGGACCGGGACCCCCACCCTGACCCGCAGCTAACCGGTGAGGTGGCCACAGCTGACGGGGCCAGGTCAGGGTGCCCAGTTGCACCCCAGAGAGGAGCAGCCCCCGTGGACGGGACAACTCGGGCCTGACCGGCGGCCAGGGCTACGGCCAAACGTCCCGGGCTGGGCTGGCCTTGGAGCGCGGGGGACGGGGCCGTGCGTCCCGCATGTGGGGGCCCTCCCGGGGGAACTGCCCGCCACGGGGGAAGGCGCGGACTCACCTTGCTGCAGCTGGCCAGGTGAGCCTTGAGGCCGGACACGCTGGAGTAGATGGCTTCACAGCACTGGGGTGGGAGACAGCCATGGGCGGGGCCTCCAGACAGGGCCCGCGGGCACGCGGCGCCCCTCCCCCGCCGGGGGCCTGCCGGGAGCCTGGGGCCTGGGCAGGCTGGGCCCCGGGGCTGCGGCCCGGCCTGCCCACCAGCAGGGCTGTGTCTGAGGGCCCACGGGGCTCAGGCACCGGGCAGACTGGCCTCCTGTCAAGCTCCCGCCCAGGGCCACGGCTGGGGCTCCATCCCGAAGCCCCAGAGCCGCCCCCCCTCCCCCGCACATCTGCCCAGCTCACGTCATTGGGACAGTTGACGTGGCCTTTCTCCTTCACTTCGTTCTTCCAGGTCTCCAGCAACTGGGGGTTGAGCGTGGGGAGGCCTGGCCGCGTGTAGTTGAGCTGTGGAAACAGGCAGCCACCAGGGTGAGCCCGGGGGCCCGTGCACCGCGGCCTCTGCGGGGAGACTCGCCCCTTGGGGAGTCAGCAGAGCACCAGCCCTGGCGGCGGGGGGCGGGGCAGGACCGTCCCGGGGCCACGCGGAGGCGCTTGGAGGCCAGGGCTCACCCGAGCCGTCTCGGGCACCAGGTCATCCTTCATCCGCCGCTTGGTCCAGTCTCGGGCCAGCTCGTCCTCCGCGATCTCTTGCAGGTGGAACACGGCGACCTGGGCCGACGTGCGGCGGATGCGGCCACTGGGCGTCCGCTCCACACCCAGCAGGTCCTCGGCCTCAGGGGGCTTGTCCTCGGGCTCCTCGGGGGGCTGCACGGTGCGGAGGCCCGGTGAGCAGGGCAGGGAGCCAGGCGTGCGCCGTGGCGCGGGGACACAGGAGCAAGCGCGGGCGGTGGGGGCCGGGGGGGGGGAGGGTGCCACGTGCCCGGCGCCCGGAGGGCAGGACCGGAGGCACCGCCACTCACCGGGGCCGTGTGCTCCGAGCGCATGTGGTAGTCGTGGCCGGCCTTGGAGCGGTAGGTCTTGCCGCAGTGGGAGCAGGGGAAGGACGGGCTGTCCACCTCGCAGGGCGGCCTGCCACAGCGCCGCTGGTGGTACTGGTAGCCCATGAGGCTGGAGAAGGCGGCCCCACAGCCCTGGGGGCCCGGGGGCGTCACGGGGCCGGCCAGGGGCGCTGCCCGGCCCCACGCCGCCCCGCCCCCTCGCGGTCCCACTGACCTCCTGAGGGCAGCGCAGCCGCCCCATCTGCTTCAGCACCTTGCGCAGCCGCTCCCGCTCCTCCTGCTCGCTCCCCTCGGAGGCCTCCGTGTCCGACGGCTGGGGGGCAGGCCCGGCCTCAGCGCCCCGCCCCGCCCCGCGCCGGGGGACGCCCCGGGGTGGGCGCAGGCGGGCAGGGCGGGCGGGAGGCCTGGGGTCCGCGGTCGGGGGGTGGCGGGCTGTGGGGCCGCCGGGCCGGCCTACCTTGGCGCTGTGCTCGGCCATGGTGTGGTAGTTGAGGCCGGCCTTGGACTTGAACTGCTTCCGGCAGTGCTGGCACTTGAGGGCGTCCTGGAGCTGCAGACGGCGACCCCTGAGCAGCTGCCCCGGGGCACCGCCCCCACGCCGGCCGGACCCCGGGGCGGCCTTACCTTCTGGCACACCTCCATGTGCTTCTTGAGCCCCACGAGGGTCTTCCGGGCGACCACGTTGCAGGTGGGGCAGACGGCCTCCCCGCGCTCGTGCAGAGCTCGCTGCCACTGCTCCTCGGGACCGCCTGCGGGGGGCGCCGGGCCGGCCCGGGGTCCTCGCTCAGCCCCGTCCGTCCGTGTGGCCCAGGACCTGCCGCGCAGTCAGGACCCAGCCCGCCCCCGCCCCCCCACCCCCGCCGAAGCCCCTACCTGGGGCTGGGTGGACGAGGGCTGCCGGCACCTCCTTGCTGGCGGCGCTGGAGGGGGGCGGCGCCTTCTTCCGGACGTCTTCGGGGCTCGGCCCCTCCGGCTTCTTGGCTCGGTAGCCCCGGGCTTTGTCTTCCGCCTTGGCCAGGCCTGCGTGCACACGCGAGGCGGGGCAGGTGTGGGCCGCGGGCACACCTGGGCACAGGCCCGGTCCCGCAGGTGCCCGGCCGGCCGGGGCCTCACCTTTGAGTCCGAACGTCCCTGAGATAGACGGCTGCTCCCCCGTAAACTTTTTGGGTGTTTTCTGCTTCCTTCCTGACTCGGGGGAGAGGAAATGGGGCCGAGACTCTGGTCAAACAGCCACCGGAGGGGCGGCCGCAGCCCCTGCCCTGGCCATGACCCCCCCCTCGTCTTACTGTGCTTTGTGCGCTCGGCTGCCTCCTCAGGCGGGGACACCGGGCCCGCGGCCCGCGGCGCCTCCTTGCCCCCCGAGGGCCGGCCGCCCAGCGAGAGGGGGCTACCGCCGAGGTCTGCGCTGGGCGGGCAGGCCACGCCCTGGCCTGTGGTGGACGGGCCATACTCCCCGTTCTCCGACCTCGCCTGCTTGGGCGGGATGGGGCAGGCATCCAGGCCGTCCACAGCCCTGCGGGAGGCAGGGAGGTGAGGGGCAGGCGGGCCCCCTAGGCCGTCCCCCAGGCCGCGGCCGGGAGCCCCCACCCCGGCCGGGAGCCCCCACCTTTTCTTCCCGCTGGCCCTCCCCGCGGCACGAGGACTCTTGTTCTCCGACTTGGTCAGCAGCACCATCTTGCAGGACGGCGTGTGTCTGCCGGTGATGGCGAGGGGTCGGCTGACCGTCACCAGCTTGCTGACCATGAGGGGCCGGCTGACTGTCACCGGCTTGGTGACCGGCACAGGTTTGGTGACTGTCACAAGTTTTGTCATCGGCACTGGCTTGTTGGCAGTCACTGGCTTGGTGACTGGCACTGGCTTGGTGACCGGGATGGGCTTGGTGACTGGGATGGGCTTGGTGACTGGCACGGGCCTGGTGACTGGCACGGCCTTGGTGATCGGCACGGGCCTGCTGACCGTCACGGACTTGGTGACCGGCACGGGCCTGCTGACCGTCACGGGCTTGCTGATGCCGATGGGCTTGCTGACCCCCACGGGTTTGCCAATGGTGACGGGTTTGCTGACTCCGATGGGCTTGCTGACCCCAACGGGCCGGCTGATGGTGACGGGCCGGCTGACCGGCCCAGGCTTGGGGGCAGGCAGAGGGCGGTCCATGTGGTTCCAAATCTGGTGCTTCTCCAGCTGCGTCTTGGAGGTGAAGGCGGCCTCACAGAAGGGGCAGGGGAAGGTCAGCCTCTCGGAGATCGCGCCCTGGGCGGAGAGGGCAGGCGTGGGCCGGGCCGCGGGGCCTCCGCCGCCGCCCCGAGCGGGGCCGGCCGCCCCCGCCGCGCCGCCGCGCCTTACCCCTTGGCACCGCTGGTAATGGTACTTGAGCCCGTAGATGCTGGGGAACTCCAGCCAGCAGCCGGCATTGGGACACTGCACCCGGGAGTGTGCCTTGAATTCGTCCTTCCACTGGTTCATCAGGGAGAGCTGCGTGGCGAGAGGCGGGGCTGCTGACGGCCGGACTCAGCCCCTGCCCGGGCTTCCCGGGCAGACTCGCTGCCGGGGCCCTTCGACCTCGGGGCCGCAGCAAGGTCCCCGCCGCCTGGAGCGGCAAGGGGCCCTAGACCTGTTCTAGGGTCCCCGCGGACATGGTCCACTGGGTCCCGGGCCACACCATGACCCCTTGGGGCACAAGGTGGCCCCGGCGCGGGCTGAGGCCTTGGTGCTGGATGTGGGGGGCGGCAGGCAAAGGCAGGGCAGCGGCCTCGGCGGGCAGACCCCCTCATGAGCCCCACCCTGGCCCCCAGGGCGCTCACGGGAATGTCTCGCAGGGCCTGATTCTCAGCTTTCGGACGCCCCTTTTTCTTCCCTTCTGTCCTGTCGCCGGCTGGACTTCCCGGGTCAAAGCAGAGCGGGGCCTGGCCAGGCACGGTCTGCCCCCCGCGGGCCACCGGCAGCCCTGCAGCACACAGCACGTGGCGGCTTGGCGCTGCGGCCCCCGCAGCCTCGCCTTGCACCTAGGAGGCTGCCGTGGGCCCGCGCCCCACTGCGGAGGCACGGCGGGGGTGGCTGTCAGCCCAGGAGAAGACTCCGCGGCCCTGGCTCCCCCCGCCCTGGGCAGGCTCTAGGGATGGCAGCCCGGCGCTGGGTGTCCGGGAGGCGCCCTCGCCCTGCAGTCTGTGCCGGTTTGGCGTTGACCTCGGCCTGACCCCTCTTACCCAGCTTCGGCGGGTCGTGCCGCACAGGAAGCCGGACCTCGTGCCGGCTGCTGTCCTTCCCAGACCCGCTCCTGCTGGGCCCCGGGAGCCGGCGGCCGCTTCCCACACAGAAGGGGTCAGTCATTGCTGCAAGGCAAGCGGACGGCCCCGTGAGGCCCACCTGAGGTACCCGTCCTCGTACCCCGCCCCCAGGGCGGCCTGCCTTTTAGCTCCGGGAAGGGGACCCAGCCTGTCTGTGCTCTTGGTCACAGGGGAAGCAGAAGATGGGGGACTTCCGGTTCAGGGGGCGTGCCGGCCCGGCAGAAGCCTCCCCAGGAGACACCATCGGCCTGGGAGAGTCTTACCCTGTCGCGAGACCCTCACCGGCCTGATGGGTCCTTCCGTCCTAGACAGAGTCCCCCAGTGTGCAGAGAACCGTGCCCCTCCCACCCAGCGCTGGGCCAGGCGGTGCCAGGAGGGGCCGAGCTCTTGGGCGGGAGGCCAAGGACATCCGTCCCGGGGGCCAATCATGACCCCAGCGTGGCCGGCACCTGGGGGACGCCTCCCTTCATGGCCCCACCCAGACCCAAGGCCCTGCTCCAGCGGCCCCCCTGGATCCTTCTTCCCCAGGACAGCGCTGGGAGACAGCCAGCGGGGGCCCCGGGGCCCCACGCCCACTCCCCGCCTGCACGGCCCCCGGGCCGGGGCAAACGGAGGGCGAAGGGCGCCACCGCGCCTGCTCTGGCCCCCATGTCGCTGGGGCCACCGGGCCTGACCCCTGCCTCTGTTTGTTCCGCTGGGGCCCCGCAACCCAGAGGAGGCCCCGAGAGGACTGGGCCCCTCGGCCGCCCTCCGCCCGGCTGACTGAGCCTCCTCACCTCCACCCTCCGCGGCCTCTCTGCCCCCCGCCTACAGGGCCACCAGCACCTCTCCAGAGACCGCTGGCCACCAGCCACAGGGAGCTCCCGCCTGCTGAGCGGGGCTCTGCGGACACGCGAGCTGGAGGGACTCCGCGCTCAGACCTGCTGGGTCCTCCACAGGGGCGCCCAGGGCCCCGGGGCAGGGGGCGGCGGGCGCAGGTGATCCCTGCCCCGGCAGCTTCTAACTACCTCGGAGGGGACAGGAGAGGGCTGCCGTGCCTACCAGGGTACAGAGGCTGTCTGGGCGGGCCGAGGTCAGAGGTCAGGACAGCCACTGCCTGCTGCCAAGGGGGTGCCTGGATCCGGGGGCCCGGACAGAGCAATGGGTTTAGAAAGGTCTGCGCAAACTTCTCTGCGAGTCCTCACGCTGCAACTTCAGAGGAGACAATGCCAAGATCAGTTGCCCCAGCCTCACGCTGACCCCGAGTGGCCTGAGGGGCAGGTGCCTGCTGGAAACCGCGCCTTTCCAGTCTTTCTGCAGCTTGGGCGGAGAAGTCAAAGTTGGGGGGCCTGTGGCCGGGGCTGGCCTGGGAGGCAGAGACGCTCCTTCCATCCGGGGCCTGTGACTCGCTCCGGCAGGAAGGGCTTCCGCCCCCGGGGGAGGGCCCAGCACCGACCAAGAGGGGGGACCCCCACGGGGGCTCGGGGTGCGCAGAGGTGGGCGCCGCGCTGACCACTGGCAGCGGGACCACGGCGCGGCCAAGGCCGCCGGGCCCGGGCCCCGGCTCAGGTCCGGGCGCGCGGGCGAGGCGGGCCCGGGGATGCACACCTGGCGGCTGGCCTCGCCACCCACCTGTCACCTGCGGCCGGGGTGAGGCCCCGGCCTGGCCCCCGGAAGGGCCGATCGCGGGCGCCCGGGGAGGGGGGGGCGAAGGCAGTGAACCAAAATGGCGACTTTTTCTGGAGGAGGAGGAGGCAGGAGCGCGGCGCCGGCGCGGGGCGCGGGGCGCGGCGCGGGGGGGGGCGTCCGGGCGCGGCGGGGGGGCGGCGGGCGGGGGCTCGGGCGCGGCCCCCCCGACCCGCGCGCGGGGTCGGGGTCGGGGGCGCGGCCAGCGCGGGGGCCGCGCCGGGGTCGGGGCCGGGGGCGCGGCCGGGCGCTTACCTGCGGCGCCCAGCGGGCCGGAGGCGGGGCGGGGGCCGGGGCCGGGCCGGGGCCGGACAGGGGCGCGGGCGCGGGGTCCGGGCGGCGCAGGCTGCGCGCCGCGCTGCGCACATGCGCGCTCCCGCCCCTCCCACCTTTGACAGTTTTACTGTGGGGGGGGGGGCGAACTCTCGCGGTATTCCTGCAGCCGCGCCGCGCCGGGAGGGACGGGTCGGGGGGCGGGGGCCTGCCGGCCCGCGGGCTCGCGGGGCTGCGCCGTCCGACGGCTCCGTCGGCCGGGCCTGCAGTACAGTGTCCAGCTCTGCCGCCCAGGGGGTGGGAAACGTTATTTTCGGAGTGGGGTAAACTGAGGCACCGTAAGGGCGCAGGGTGCTCCCCCAAGCCCAGCGCGCTCTGGTTGAAACCACCGGATGCCCCTGCGTCCTGGCCATGGGAAGGGGGCCACTGTCCTCGGGGGCCCTGAACTCCTGGCCGTGGGAGCCCGAGGCCTGCACAGCCGGGCTCAGCCTTCCCGCGGGCCAGCCTTGGGCCACCTCTGCCTGTGGCCACCCTCCGGGGATCGCTGGCTCCTGGCCCGTGAGGAACGCGCTCCCCGGGGTTACTGGCGTTGACCGGACGAGCCTGTCTGCTTTGGGACTGGGCATTTCTACACCGCCCAGTGCCTTGCTCCTCAGCGCCCCAGAACCTGGCCCCTGCAGGGAAGCTGCTGTCGGGTCTGGGGTGAGGGCCTGTGCTCGCCAGGCCGCGGGAATGGATGGAAGGGGGGAAGGGGTGCCCGTCGGGGCACGAGTTGCAAGATACACCTCCTTCCCTGAAGCCCTTCCCACCCCCACCCTGGGGCAGGCTCCGCTGCGCTGCTTGGGGCCAGGGCACCAACCATGGCACATGAGGGGTCTGCTTCTCACGGGGCCCCTCGAAATCGGCTCTCGCAGGGCTGGCACAGGTGCTCACCGAGGGGCGAAGGCGAGGCGTTGGGCGGGGGCTCGTCACGGGTCGCCCTTCCCGCGGAAATCCAAGACAGGGAGGCCGTGTGACCCAGGGGGAGGGGGGAAGGCCCCCCTCACGGGTGGGGCCCACCCCGGGGAAAGGACACGCGGGATTTCCGGGGCGGTCAGCACGTGCGCCCCGAGGGATGCCCAAGGCTGTCGGCTTCTCCCGTCTGAGCCCGCACATCCGTGTCTGTGATGTGTCAGTGCCGGTAGCTGGGCGTCCGAGGGACCGTGCGCGCCCGGTGGCATCCTCTTTGCATGTCACCGCCTCAGGGTGTCTGTGTCCTGCGCTCGGTGAGGAGGCGCCTGTCGGTGTGGGAGTCTTGGGGGGCTGGGCCCAGGGCCCGGGGCTCGTCTGGGTCCAGCAGCTGTGCGTTCAGGCTGCAGGGTGTCGGGAGGTCGGAGTCTCGTGCAATGGCCGTGAGTTTCGGTGTGGGGGTCCCTGGGTCCCTGTGTTTGTGTCCGTGTGTTCCGGCCTCAGCGACTGGTTTCTGCGTCTGCGTCCCTGCGTGTGAGGGCACGGCCTGGGCAGACCCCATGGAGATCCCCGGAAGATGCCGCCGCAAGGCTCAGGGACACGTGAGTGAGGCCTCGTTAGGGAAAAGGGTCTTGGCCGCTGTGACCAAGTTAAGGACTTGGAGATGAGGTCGTCCCGGGTTCTCCAGGGGCCCTCAGGAGAGGAAGGCCTGAGGCAGACAGAAGGCAGCGTGACGACGTGGTCCTGGGCGCAGCGCGCGGTCCCTGAGCCGCGGCGACCGCCAGTGCGGGCTGTGGGGAGCGGGGTGGCCCCGCTGGGCCTCAGACCTGCGGCCCGCAGGACGGGAGAGAGGCAGCTTCCGCGGGGTGGAGCCTCCCAGCTGTCCTCCGGGGGCTGCCGCACCTGTGCTGGGGTGCCCAGGCGCAGCGCCCAGCGGTCCTCCGGCCGGGCAGGGCCTCTGCCGCGGGCCCCCGCCCCCCCCATTCCTGGCGTACGCAGGCAGCCTGCCGGGGCGCAGCACCGCTGCCCCCTGGTGGCCTTAGCAGGCGGCAGCTGGGCTGGGCACCCCTTCCTCCCAGACCCAGGGCCCTGGCCCCCCAACCCAGCTGACGGGAGCCGGACACCGCCCTGGGGCACTTGAGAACCAGGTTTATTTCTGGTCTTTTTATCAGAATATAAAAAGTGAACACAAAACAAGGAAGACCACACAGGAGCACGGTGTGGGACTAGGGGGGCAAGACAGAGGGGGCAGAGGGGGCAGAGGTGGGAGGGGCCCCCCGGGAAGGGCGGCATCGTGACAGCACAAGGTGGGGGGACACTCAGGGCAGCCAGATGGGACGGGGGGGCTTCCTGTGGCGGGCCACCGGGGGCGGGGGCACCCGGCCAGTTGTCCGAATCCGACTCCGGACCTGGAGCAACCAGCCTCCCATGCTGGAGCCAGCTCCGGGGGCAGAGGGGGCGGGGACTCAGCCCCACCACCCCTGAGGTTCGCAGGGCCCCCAGGGAGTGGCAGGCTGGCGGTGGGGGAGCAGGCGGGGGAGACTGCAGGACAGCCCCGCCCTCGGGCCTTCGGAGTGGTTGCTGGCTGCCGGCCGGGTCTCCCGGGGGCAGGCATGGGGGCGGCCTGGCCCTGAGGCCCGTCTCTCGGGGGGAATCGGGGTTTTCCTGGGCAAGGGGTGGTGGGAGTACCCGCCCACGGATGGGCCCCCCGCGTGGCCTCCATGAGCCCAAGAGGAGGGAAGCTTCCCAAACCTACAGCCAGGACGTGGCGCAGCCTGGCGCTGAGAGCTGGGTGCCTACGCCCAGCCATGCTTGGGTCTCGGGTGCTGGAGCAGTCCTGGGCCTGCCTCTCCTCGGCTCCGTGGACAGCTGCCGGCGCGGCGAGGGTCTCATAAATGAGGAGGGAGGGCGCCGGGCAGGTGCCTGGGCGGGCGGGTGCTGGGCCTGGGCGGGGCAGGGCTGGGCCCACAGCAAAGGGAGCCGGGCAGTTTGCCCGCCCCTGTGGGCAGTCCCCGAAGGGCTGGGGGGTGTGGAACGGGACGCGTGGGCTGCCAGACTGACCTCCGGCTCTGGGAGAGGACAGGGGTGAAGGGACTATAAACGCACACTCCCCGGGAGCCTGGAGGGGCACCCAAACCCTGCTGCGGCTCCGGGCAGCTGCCCCGATGCCGCCGGCAGCACCAGGGCGCGGGCGGGGGCTCCGGTCCTGGGAGGCGGGCCCACATTCGCGAAGCCCCCACCAGCCCAGTCGCTGGCACGGCCCGGCGTGCGTGACCCCAGGAGGCAGGAGGAGGCCCCCTGGGCCCACCTGTCCACCGGGCCGGGCCTGGCCGCTGGCCGCTCCTGAAGGTCCAAGAGGGGCCGTGCCTCGTCTTTGCCACGGGCTCCGGTCACAGTGCTGGGGTCTGGGGTTCAGGCCTCGGGCAGCAGCTAGGACATGTGTCCGAAGGAAGCTACGGTGGGCAGGTGAGGAAGAGCGGGGCCTCTGGCATCGTCCACGCTGCCACAGGCGCAGGCCAGCCCTCGCTGGGGTCCCACGGCCCCCTCCTGAGGTCCGCCCGCCCACCTTGCAAGCGGGGGCCTTGCAGCCCAGCCCCCCAGGCCTCCCCAAGCCTCTCAGGCACGCCTGGCCATTCCCGCTGACCTTGGCTGAGCAGCTGCAGGCTCCGCCCCTCCTCGCGCACCTGCAGGCGCAGCACCTGCTGCAGCACCTCCTGCCGCTGGGCCTCCTGGGCCAGCCCCATCCGCTGCAGCTTCTCCGCGTTCAGCCGCAGCAGCACCCGGCCTGGAGCGGGGGAAGGGGTCGGGCCGAGGTCAGCCCCGGACGGCACCGGGAGCCAGAGCAGAGAGAGCGTGCGCGTGGGAGAAGGGGGCGGGGGGCACAGGCTCTAAGGCGGAGACAGAGGAGGGGGAGAGAGGTGGGGGGGAGACAGAAACTCAGGTCAATTCGGAGAGAGGGAGAGAGGGAGAGACACGGATGGATGGAGACCGAGCAGAGAAAAGCCAGATGGAAACCGACAGAGGCTGGAGAGGCGAAGGGCGGTCCTGCAGGGAGGAGCGCAGAAGGGGAGGCAGGAGGAGGGAGAAAGGGGAGGGAAGCAAGAGGGGCAGAGGCGGACCCGTGCCCACCCCGCCCACGGCACCGGTGATGGCGTGCTGGGAGAAGGCCTCCACGTAGACGAGGTAGTTGTGGGGACAGTGCTTCTTCAGCCACTTGCAGACGTCCTGCTGGCTCCACAGGACCACCGGCCTCGTCAGGCCCCCCAGCGAGGGGCTCGTGTGGTACAGGCCGTAGTGGTCCGCGCAGAGCCGGCCCTGCGGGCGAGAGCGGGGGCAGCAGATGCAGTGAGGAGGCGGGGAGGGTGGGCCGGGCTCTGTGCGGAGGCTGCGTACCTGGGCAGCCTCTGTGCCGGGCTGCTGCAGGAGCTTGACCGGCCGGCCGCCAGCGGCCCTCTGGCTGCGTGAGTCATGCCACGTGAGGCTGGTGCCCGGGGTCCGGGGCAGGTGGCAGGGGATGCTCTCCGCGGACACCGTGTGCTCCAGGAGGGTCCGGCAGAAGCTGAAGTGGGCAGTAGCTGCAGAGCAGGGGTGGGCGGGTGGTCAGGGGCGAAGCCGGGGCTCCTCTCCCTGCTCGGCCGCCTCCCCTCCGCTGAGGACGCAGCCACGCGCTCAGCAGGCGGCTCCCAAGCCCCCGCAGGCTGCAGGAAGCAGCAAGAGCTGTCCTGAGGACCCCACCCAGCTCGACAACAAGAACAAACACCTTTCCCTCCAAGTCCAACGCCCACGTTCCAGGGAGCTGGGCTGGCTGTGCTTAGACTAAAGAGAGAAAGTGCCCACCAGGGAGCCCAAGACTTACAGATGGGGGCGGAGGGGGGGTTACCCTGGGAGAGCTCTAGCCTCACCCTTGCTTCCCGCGCACCCACAGGACCTGCCGGCAAGGCCTGTGCGGGGGGAGGCCCTGAGTGCCCCGCCGCGCACCCCCGCAGATGGACCCAGTCTCCGACGCCCGAGCCGAGGCTTGGCCCTGCCCAGCATGCTCACTGGTTGTGACTCATCGACAAGAAGCCTGGCCTGGGGCAGCTGACACCCAGGGCTCCTGCTCCCCGCCTCCCACGGGGCCCAGCCCGGACGGTTTCCGTCCAGCCGGCACGGGCTGCTCAGGACGGTGCTGGGGACCGCGGTCTCCGTCTGGAGCTCTCTCTCCACCCACACCAACTTTGTCACATTCATTGAGTTTTAGTTTTGTTATCGTTTGCGGGCTCACTGCTGACTTGAGTCGGGGGAAGGTAGACACCGGGACAGGCCCCTCCCAAGAGGCCTGGGCCCAGAAACACTGTGAGTGGACGAGCGGGCAGATGGAGCCCTGCATGATGTCCGTGAGCCAACAGAGCCCTGGGGACGGATGGGACACTGGGCCCAGGCCTGCCCCATCTTTACGGCATCCAGGCCCTGACTCAGCAGCCAGGGCCAGGTTCCCGGGCCAGGTCCGCTCCCCCGGGAGAAGGAGAGACCCCCTCACCTCTCCCCACGGGGGGCTGGGTTGGGCCCTGTGCCCCGGTCACGGGGGAACCCACATCTTACCCTCCTCCTCCCCCCGGAAGTGTCATGGACCTAGCCTCTCCCCCCCATTCTCACAACGCTCCTTCATCGCGGGACCCTATGCGACTCCCAGTTTGAGGTGGAGGGTCCGAGTGTGGCCAGTGTGGCTGCCACCTTGAGGTGGCTTCTTGCTCCGTGGGAAATGGCTTATCCTAAGCCGGCACCTTTCAGGGAGCGGGCGCCTGGGTCGCTGGGCTCCCTTCCCTTCCCGGCCCGGCCCGGCCCTGGCGAGAGCGCGCGGCTCCGGGCAAACCAGTCCGACACCTCCGTCAGCGCTGCACCTGCCCCGGGCCAGCTGGGTCCCGCCCATTTCCGGCCCGCGCTCGGGTGGGCTCTCTGTCCAGGCGTCCGTCCTTCCCTCCTCTCGGCCCCAATGTCAGAATCCCAGCAGAAAATGGGGAGGGGTCGGCCGAGCCCGGCTGTGGCTTCTGGCGCCTTCTCGGCCCCAACGCTAGGGCTGCGGAGGGTTTTTTTCCGAGCGAAAAAAATGGGACCGCACGGTGGTGCCAGCCTGGGGACGGGAGCCCTGGTCTGTCACCTCCCCCAAGCCAAGGGTGCGTTCATCCCCCAGGCCTGAGGCCGCGCCACCCACTGCCCCCGGCACAGGACAAAGACACCAGGAACCCGGCTCGGCCAGGGCGCGCCCCCCACTCTGCCGCCGCCGCCGCTCGGAGTCCGCCCGGTCCCGCCCCCGTCCCTCTCGGTCGCCAAGCCCCCAGCCCGCGACATCTCCGCGCCCCGGTCCAGCCCCGCTCACCGTCCACATCCCGGCGCTCCCCGAAGCCGGCGCGCACAGCCCCGGCACGGCCTCGCGGGGGGCTCAGCTTGGTCCTCAGCTCCGTGAACATGGGGCCCGCGCACACGCCCCTCGCCGGGCGCAGGGCGGCCCTTGTGGCCGGCGGGGAACGCGCGCCACCGCCCCGCCCCAGCCGGCCCCGCGCCCGAGCCGGTCCCCGCGCCCGGCGAGTCTGCGCGGCGAGGCACCTGCCGCTGAGCCCTGAGTGCTGGGCGCGCTCCAGGAGCTCGGAGGTGTGTCGGCGGCGCGCTGGTCTGCGTCTGCACAGGGCGTCCGCCGGGGCGAGGGGCGCCCGTGCGCACCTGGGCAGGGCCCCGAGGACGCGTGACTGTGCACCGACTGGGGTCCAGGCCTCCGCGGGGGCCTCTCAGGCAGGGAAGTGGGGACACATTCGTCGCCTCTGTGTGTGTGTTGGGTGGGGTGGATGGAGACCCGACGCGCCCCTGGGGCCTCCTGCCTCCCGGGCCCAGGTCAAGGTCCAAATCGACCCCTTCCAACCACGTCCCTCCTCTCCCGCCTCAGTTTACTCCTTTATTTTACACGTTCTCCAAACTTTTCCACAGGGGCCTCCCTGAAGTGGGCACTTGCCTCCCAGAAGTCAGCTCGACCCCCCCCCCCTTGCCCTACCACACTGTGAACTCCGGCAGTACCGCCGGGGGCTGCCCCCTCCCCTCGGTAGGCCCCGAATCTGACTCAGAGCCCAGGACTTGGCATCGAAAGGCTGGGCCCAGGGAAGAGAAACTGCAAGGAGGCTGTGGCAGAGGGGGTGGGGGGTTGCTCCAGGATACGGGGAGAAGGGCCAGGGCGGGCCTGGGGGCTGCCAGGCCTGCAACCTGAGCGATGCTCGCTCTGCCAGGAGCCTGCGTCTCGCCCCAGGTTCACGATGGGGCCCCGGGGGGCGCGGGGCCCAGCGGGACTGTACAGAGCACAGCCATGCCCGTCCACCCACAACTTGAGCTCAGCGGCGACCTGCAGGCACGCTCCCCAACACGCACACTCGGGGAGGTTTGCACGGAGCCCAACCGCGTGCAGCCGTCGCCCCGACCACGTGCTGACTTGTTCCCGACGCATCTGCTGCGTCTGTTTATTGTCCTCCATCAGCGCTCTAGAGCTGGCCTCGCTGCCCTGAGCGCGGCACGAGGGGTGGGTGGGGCCTGTGTGCGCGTAGGAGCGCTGAGAGCAGGGCTGGCACAGGAGACCCGCAGCGGGTCCCGGGGTACCCACAGTCACGAGCCCCCCCGCCCCCGCCCTGCACAAGCTCAACGCAGCTGCGGGAGTGCGAGGTACAGTGCGGCCCCGCTCGGGCATCTGGGCCCGCCCCGCCAGGGCGGCCGGCGGGGCTGGGAGAGGCAGGGGTCCTTGAGGAGCATGCAGAGAGCGCAGGCAGCGGGGACGACCTGGCTCGGTTCCGAGGTCCCGCAGGGGTCGCCTAGGAGGGAGTCGCTCAGGACCCCTCCAGCCGCCTGTCCGGCCTCCCCGCCGCCAGAGGGCGCTCCAGCTCCTGCGCTGGCCGCATCTCCGCCCCTCAGCCGCGGCCGGAGGTCGCGTTCCCGGAACTTCCGCCCGGAGGCTCCGAGGTGGGCGGGGCTTCGTGCGGACTGCGTGCTCTGCTTCCGGAGCGCGGGTGACGCGGGACTCGCGACTTCTTCCTGCAGCGAAGCTCCGGACGCCTGCGGTCCTCCGCTCGCGGCCGCGGCCTTCGTCCCTTTCCTTTCCAGCGCTCCTCGTCGCCGGCGCCATGAACAAGAAGAAGAAGCCGTTCCTGGGCATGCCCGCGCCGCTCGGCTACGTGCCGGGGCTGGGCCGAGGGTGAGTCCTGCGGCGGGCGCGGGGCGGGGGGGGCGGGCCCGGCCCGGGGCGGCGCGCGCTTGGGGCAGGGGCTGGGCACCGGCCCGGGCCCGGGCAACGCCGGCCGGAGTACCCGACGCGAGTGTGACAGATGAGTGTCTGCGGCCGCTGCGTCTGCAAGATGCGAGGCCGTTCGGCGTCGAGTTTGCAAGAGGGGCCGTTCTTCGCCGTTAGTTCCCACTCGGGGCGGTGCGGGCTCCACCAACCGCCTGGGAGCTGGGGGCGGCGCCTCCCCGCGCGGTGGCCCGAGCCTTGGCTTGGCCTCTGCGGCGGGAGCATCGTGGCCGCCCTCCCAGGCCAGGAGGACCCCGCCCCGCGCCCGCGGCAGGCAGGAGCGACCCCTTCCGTCTCTGGTGATTCGTCTGTGTGGCGGCTCGCAGGGCCTCAGTCCTTCCCGCGCTGGCCGTGGTGGTCTTTCTTGCTTGTTCAGACTGTCAACTCTGCCGGGTCGCGGCGGTCCCGGCCCCACGGGCGACTGCCGTGAATTGAATTGCTGAATAAATGAGCAGTCGTTTTCGCTGTTAGTTTGGTTATTCGCTTGGTTAGGGAAACGGCTGGGCTTCTCTCGTCGGGGGTCCCGTGTTAGAAGCTGCGCAGCGCACGTCGGTGTCGTATTTGATGCCGTCTTCAGAGGACGTGCAGTTGGCTAGGAGAGGTGGGGAAGCGCAGAAGCCAGTTCACGAACGGGAGCGGATTTGGAACTGGGGGGCCCACGGGGCCGGGTTCACTGCGGCGCGGCGCATCCGAGCTGCGTTTAGGAGGAAAGCTGCAGTTAGGGACGCGGGAAGGAGTTAGGGAATAGCAAGGCGTCCCTGAGCAGAACCCCGGGGGACGGTGACGGGAATGGAGCTCCTGGAGCCACTGGAGAGGCAGAGGCTGTGGCGGCGGTGACTGGTGGCTCCGCTGGCCCAGCCGGTGGGCATCACGGCCTGGGCAGGAGGGGTCGGGGCAGCTCAGCGCTGCGAGGCGGGAGGTGGGATGGGCGAGGAGGGCGCAGGAGGCGAGGCTGACACCACGGCGGCTGCCTGGGTCGCCATCTGGGAGCGAGTCCGGAGCAGCCGCAGGGCGGCCCAGCGGGAGCTCCGATGGGGCCGCGTTGGGTGGGGGGGGCCTGGTTGGACGGGAGGCTGTTGGGAATGGGGCTGGGACGGGGAAGGAGGGCGACCTGATGCCCTGGGGAACGCGGCGGCAGACGCACGCCTGAGTGACCACTGAGCGAGGGTCGGGAGGTGCCCGCCTGAACAGCAGGCTGGCGGTGCTCGGAGGCAGGACCCCGCGGGGTTCACGGCCGCCAGCGTCTTTGGAGGCGCTGCAGGAGGAGGTGTCGTTAAGGGACGGGTGTGGAGGGAGGAACCTGGGGACGGCTCACCCGGGTAAACGGGCGTCTCGGGGTCTCCTGCAGCGCCACCGGCTTCACCACGCGGTCGGACATTGGGCCGGCCCGGGATGCCAACGACCCTGTGGATGACCGCCACGCGCCCCCGGGCAAGAGGACCGTGGGCGACCAGATGAAGAAGAGCCAGGCTGCGGACGACGATGACGAGGACCTGAACGACACCAACTACGACGAGGTGAGTGGCCGGCCCCCAGCCCCCGGGGTGGGGCAGCCCCGCAGCCTCCTGCTGTTGTGACAGGCTCCCCTCCGTCCCCCGTGGTCCCTGGGCTTCTGCAGCCGGGGGGGGGGGGGGGGCGGCGAATGTAGAGACACGTGCACTGTGTTGATTCCTCAGAAGAGGTGCTTTGGCAGCTATTTGAATCCCTGCGCTGCATTCGTTTTGGCCCCTGGAAAGAAACATTTTCTCAAGTTACGAGAACAAGTTTAATTTGAAAGTTACAGAGAGCATTTGAGATCTTGCTCCCTGGCATGTCTTCAGTCTGACTCAAAGAAGTGCATTAAAAATTAAAAAAAGGAAGTTACGGAGGCTGCAGGAGTGAGCCGGGTGGGCGGCGCAGGCCCAGGGCGCGGGCGCAGGGCGCAGGGCAGAGGAAGGGCCCTGTAGCTCAGGAGAGCGGGGGCTGTGCGGGGGGAGCGCGCCGGGCGTGCCCGTGGGAGCACGAGGACCAGGGTGGGACGGGGGCGGACGCGGGCTTCCTTCTGCGTTAGCGCTCGCCCTCTTCGTTGCCCGGTGTTGGGGCCATCGGAGATTTCTCCAGATGGGTTCTCACCGATGGCATTTTTTCTCAGAGGAAAAGAGTTTAAAAATGCAGCTCTGAAATAACTCAGTTTGCAGGGAGCTTGCAAGAATCGTGTGGAGGACGCCTGCGTTCCCCTCCCAGGCCTCTCCCCATCGTGCATCACCAGGGCGGCGGCGCCGACGCGCCGGCTGATCCGCAGCCGCTGCTCGATCCCCGCCAGTCTCCCCCCACCGCCTGCCGTGTCCTCCTGGGCCCCTTGTTGCCTTGGTTTCCCCGGGGGCAGCTCCTCCGTGCCCCCGGCCCTGGACCGCCGTCTTGTCTTGCCTCGAGCCGGGCGTGTGTCGCGGAGCCACGGTGCGCACGAGCGTTGCGGCCGGCGGTGCTCTGGTCCGCTGGTGGGGGCAGACGCTGACCCTGCGCTGTGTTTGGCCCACAGTTCAACGGCTACGCGGGGAGCCTCTTCTCCAGCGGGCCCTATGAGAAGGACGACGAGGAGGCGGACGCCATCTACGCGGCCCTGGACAAAAGGATGGACGAGAGGAGGAAGGAGAGGAGGTAAGGCCGCAGGTTCGGGGCGGGGTCCTGACTGCCCGCCAGGCCCGCGTCTTTGGGGTGGGCGTGGTGCTGCTGACCAGCGTATCCTCAGTAACTCGGGAGTTCCCTCCGTGAGCTGTTCGTATTTTTATTTAAAAAATGCACTGTCGTTACCTCGTACTAGGACGTGCGCTTGAGTAGGATCGGTGAGGGGGGACCTTTGTTCAAAAGCCCAGAAAGTGACAAGGACGTTTCGCTTTACTTCCCTTTTTTCGTTGCTCCGTACGCACACAGCGTTGTAACTTCCCGTGACATAGGTAGCGTGTTCGATGTTTTCAGGGCCGTTCCACGGGAGCAGCGGTGACGGGGTGATGGAAGGGCGCGTCCCTTGGGGCGGGAACACAGGACAGGGTACACACGTGGCGTGTTACACGTTTGTTTTCCTCAACCCGTCTAATTAACCAGGGTCGCCCCGTAGGTTCAGTCAAAATGAAAGGAAGGAGAGGGTTTGACTCCCGCTGTCTGTCGGTTCCTGTTCAAACGGGGAGCGACGTGGGCGC